GCTGTGATCAAGTTTAACATCAATACAACCTCCTTTGTATCACAATCTGTAACAATACCTAACACAAATAATTGCGGAGTAAATTTTACCCTCCTTCTAAAAATTCTCTGGATATTCCACCATATTTTGATCCAAAATGCTTTTATCTCTCTACATGACCACCAAATATGATAATAAGAAGCCTCCTTATAACCACATCTCCAACATTTAGGTTGCACGTCAGGGTACATATAAGACATTTTTTGTGGATCAAGGTGCCATCTATAAAACATTTTATAAAAATTCTCCCTTAAGTTCTGTGCTTGAGTAATTTTGACATTTCTCACCCAAATAGTTTCCCAGGTGTCCAATGAAACTGGCTCACCAAAATTCTGCGCCCATCTAATCATACAATCTTTAATTAGTTCCGTTTCTGAGTCCAATTCAACTAAAACCCCATAAATTCTCTTAATGTGGTTTTGTCTTTGATCCTTAAGTTGCTTAATAAGATTTTCATCTTCTCTAAGAAAACCCACCTTACAATCCATCTTCCATCTATCTAGTAGTTGCCTATATTGGAACCAACAATAAGTAAAATTTTCTTGTGCTAATTCTTCCCGTGATTTTAATTGCCAGTTTTGTCCATCCCATTTAAGTAACTGTCTGTAAGACACCATATCCATTTTAACCCCTCTTTTTAATCCTTCTATCGCATGCCAAGGTATAGCCCATAATGGTACTTTAAAATCACTTTTATAATATTTTCTCCAAATCCTAAGTAAAGAAATTCTTAAAATATGAGATTTAAAAGCCCAATCTATTTTTTTATTAAATATTACATAGGCATGCCACCCATAAAGTAAATCCCATCCCTCTAGATAAAGTATCTCAGAATTTGTCAAATTTACCCAGTCACTAATTAATGTAAAAACCACCGCATCATAATATAATTTCAAATTTGGTACCTTGAGTCCGCCCCTCTCACGGAAGTCTTGCATAATTTTGAACTTAACCCTTGGTTTTTTCCCTGCCCAAATAAATATATTGAGACCCTTCTGCCACTCATTTAAATTAATCTCATTTTTCAAAATTGGTAACATTTGAAACAAAAAAAGAAACTTGGGTAGAATATTCATTTTTATCACTGCAATTCGTCCCATGAGGGATAATTGCAGCTTTTCCCAATTCTTCAAGTCTTTCTGTACCCCGACCCCCAACCTTTCATAATTATTTTTAAATAGTTTTGCATTAGAAACAGACAGCATCACCCCCAGATATTTTACCTTATTAACAATCTCAAAACCCGTCGAGTTAACCAAAATCTGCTTCTCCTGACTCGACAAATTTTTAGGTAAAATTTTAGTCTTATTTACATTAATCTTAAAACCTGAGACCAAACCATAATGGTGAATCAACTGTAATAAGTTTACTACAGAATAATCAGGTTGCAACAAAGTAACAACCAAGTCATCCGCAAAAGCTCTCAACTTATATTCTTTTTTATTAACATATATTCCTTTAATTTCCTGAGACTCTCGAATTTTAATCAATAATATTTCCAATGTTAAAACAAACAACAATGGCGATAATGGACACCCCTGTCTAGTACCTTTCTCTATTGTGAAAACCTCCGACAAACCTCCATTAACAATAAGTTGTGCTGTTTGTTTTTGATATATTACCTTAAGGGCTTGTAATATGTTGTCACCAAAATTCATTTCTTCCATTACTCTTAGCATAAAATGCCAATTCAGTTGGTCAAATGCTTTTTCAGCATCTAAAAATATGAGCCCTGCAGGAACTTGGTTGTTCTTATCTAAGTATTCTAATAAATTAATAATTTGTCTAACATTGTTTTTCATAGACCTTCCTGTTATAAACCCTGATTGATCTTTATGCACAAGATGATGCACCACCCTCATAAGCCTATTTACCAAAATTTTTACAAATATCGTATAATCCACGTTTAAAAGAGATATAGGCCTATAGTTTTTTGGTAAAGTAAGATCTTGATCCTCCTTTGGAATCAATGATATAAAAGCACTACGCCATGAAGGAGGAATCTCTAAACCCTGTAGGATACCATTAAAAAGATCATTTAATGGTTGAATCATCTCCTCCATTAAAGCTTTATAATAAACAGCTGTTAACCCATCCGTACCCGGTGCTTTCCCTAATTTCAATTGTTGAATTGCTGATGCGATTTCCTCCTTAGTAATTAAACCATTAATTTCATATTTCTGATCCTCAGTCAGTTTAGGAAAACTTGCCTCAGCTAAATATTTATTTATATCTAACAGTTGTACATTAGTATATTTGTATAGGTTTTGATAATAATCCAAAAAAGATTTTTTAATTAATTCCTTCTGAGAAACTAGTTTACCCTTATAATTTATTTTCTCTATTATTCTCAGTCTCTTTTTCTTTCTTAATTGATAAGCCAACCATCTCCCCGGCTTATTAGCATTACAAAATGTATTTTGTTTCATAAATAATAAATTGGTTGCAGCTTGATCTGCTATCAACATATTAAATTGTGACCTTAATAACTTTACAGATTCTTTAGTACTTTCATCAGAAGGATTTAGAATCAAAGCCCTTTATTTTAGTTTAATTTCATCTTCAAGTTCTCTACGTTTCTGAGTCTGATTTCGCTTATAAAAATTATTCATTTTTATCAAAACACCGCTCATAAATGCTTTACCTGCATCCCATACCATTGACATTGAAGTCCCCTTATACATATTCAAAGCAAAATAGTCCTTTAAACACTCCTTTAGTTTTTGAACATTCTTCTCTTGTCTAAACAAATTTTCATTAACTCTCCAGGATCTTCTTTCCTCTTTCTCTTGAATCAACTCCATCCAAACTGGACTATGATCCGTCAGTGATCTAGAAAAAATCTTTACATTCTTTACTTTATTATACAAATCCGTGGTAATCAAGAAAAAGTCAATTCTTGAAAAAGATTGGTGTCTGTCAGAAAAAAAAGTAAAGTCTCTCTCCTCTTGATTACGTTCCCGCCAATAGTCCCTTAATTCCCAGTCTTCTTTCATATCAAAAAAGTCTTTAGGTAGCCTTGCTTGTTTAAGAAAAGGAGAGGAACCTTTCTTATCCCTTTGTGTATCTAAGACACCATTCCAATCACCCATTAATACCACCGATCTATAATCAAGCAAAGTTATTTTTTGGTGTAACTGGTTATAAAATTGTTCCTGTTGTTGATTTGGAGCATAAAGTCCAACTATAAGTACTTTCTTACCATAAATACCAAGTTCAATCATCACATATCTCCCCTGGGGATCTGATTCTACCAGACAAGCTGGCAGGTTTTGTTTGACATATATAACAAATCCCCCTTTCTTCCCAGGTGCAGGAGATATAAAATGAGATCCCAAACGAGCATTAACTAAATATTTCTGATCTTTAAGTAGAATATGAGTTTCCTGTAAACAAATAACATCATTGGTATGTTGTTTCAAATAATAAACGATTTTTTTCCGTTTCTGAGGAGAATTCAATCCATTAACATTCCAGGTCAAAAACTTTGCCATCTCCCTTGGCACGCAGCCTGGAGAAGACACCATCAAACTCTGACAGAGCTGCGTGTGTTGCATAACTCTTGGGTCTTGCTCCTCCCACCGGCGGTGAGGCACTTCCAGGAGAATTCTCTTTGGGCTCTTTTTTACGTTGCTCTTTCTCTTTACGCTTATAAGCTGCACGAGTCATCCTCTGCTCTTTAGCCTCCATTTGTCGTTGCTTTGCCACTTCTATCATCCCTGCGGAAACCAAATCTAGTGCCTCAGATTGCTGCTCAGGTTCCTTAGCACTCAAAGATTTCCGACCAGAGGAAGTTGAGCCTGCACTCAGGACCGAAGTATAGAAATCTCTAGCTTTGTCAACTGTGTTCAATCTGTAACGTGTCCCAGCATGGCTCAAAACGATACCCATCGGAATTTCCCATCTGAATGGCATCGATCTATCTTTAAGCTCATTGGTTAAAAAAGCAAAGTCTTTCCTACTTCTTAAAATTTTAGATGGGATTTCCTTTAGAATGATGACATCTTGGGCGGCAATCTGAAATCTTTTGTTATAAAAAGCTTGTATAATCTCATTCCGCAGGGACTTCTTTGTAAAGTAAATCACCACATCTCTGGGCAAATTCTTCTGCTTAGCAATCCAGGAGTTGAGTCTATAAATTTTTTCTACTTCTCTCTGTAATTCTCCTTTATCCATATCCAAAGCCAGCGCCAGATCACTAAGAACCAGCTCCATCAAATCTTGATTCATATCTTCCTTGAGGCCTCTAATCCTCAGAGCATACTCCATTTGTCTGTATTGAAACATCAAAATATCTTCTTGTGAGGAGTCCACCTTCCTTTCCACGTCTTGAATTTTGTCATCTAAAGAGTCAACTTTGTCTTCCACTTCCTCAAGCCTTGCATCGAGCTTAACCACCACAGTAGCCAAACCTGAAACAGCTGCCAGTATATCTTGTCGTAATTCATTATTATTTTCTTGCAATTTAGACTTTATCCCCGTTATCTCTTCTTTGAGATCAGATTTTATTTCTGATTTAATCTGTGAAACAAATTGAGTCATTTCCTCTCTCATTTGAACTACAATCTCTCCCATTATGCCTCTAACCTCTTGCACTGAAAGTCCAGATAGAGGAGGGGAGGGTGGTGGCTGAGCCGGTGGTGCATGTTTAGATTGTTGTTGTAGCTGTGCAGTGGAAGTTATAGGAGAAGAAATAACCTTGGGTACTGAGGAAGGCTGCTGCCTCTTTGAAGCCATTTTAAAAAGCACAATTTTCACTTCCCTTTCCCCTCCAGCCAAAAAGGGAGGAGGAAAAAAAGAAAAAAAGAATTTTTAAAAAGAGACAAACTATAATCATTAAAAGTCCAGAATAAATCCCAAGAATAAGTAATAAAAGAGCAAACAATTCAAAAAAAAATTCTAAGCCAAAAGCAAAAGCAAAAGCAAAAAACAATCCTTAAAAAGGGAAAGTAAAACAAAAGAGAAAGGAAAAAAAAAAACTCCGACACTTTCAAAACGCCATCTTAAGTCCTTTCACTAGTATAACAAAGAAAAGGAGGAAAAATAGTAAAAATCAAAAGATAAAAAATAAACACCTAAAATATAACAAAAAATCCTTTAAACTGCTCCGTCCGTTTAAAAATTACTCACCAAAATGCTGTAAACACGGAGATAGAATCGGCGGTTTCTTTTGCTTCCAAGGAAGCAAAAACAGCTGGGAGGCGGAGATCAGCAAGAGCTCCGAGGGAACACTCCTTTCACCCCCTCTAGAAATAAATCCAGAGGGGGTTCAGGGGTTCTACCTCTACTCTTGCGTTCTCTATCCCTTCCCTTTGCCCGGGAAGGGATTTCCGAGCCGCGGGCCAGCTGATGCGCGCTGCGCTCCGCGGCTCTGACACTTCCCCAGCTGGACGGCTAAAAGCTAGCCGCCATCGCCGTCGCCTCCCACCGGAAGCTTCCAAAATGTCGACATTTTGTAACAATAAATGACTTTTAGGAAAATCAATGCCTGGAAGTTCTTTGAAGTGTTTTCATTAGCCGGAACCATAACATCATGCCAAGATCTATCAGTGTTTCTCAACCTTGACCATTTTAAGGCATGTGGACTTCAACTCCCAGAATTCCACAGCCAGCAATGCTGGCTGTGGAATTCTGGGAGTTGAAGTCCACATGCCTTAAAATGGTCAAGGTTGAGAAACACTGCTCTAAATTCTCTTCCCCTGAGCAATTAAATTATCAGCATGTTCCCTCCCTAAATTAGCTGTCATATATCACGGTGATCCAATTAGTATGAAGGTCAAAGGTTTCCTTCCTCTCTCTTTCCCTTTCCCCTCTTCTGCTCTGCATTAACTCTAAAAATACCAGACAGTTCTGCATATTGTCACAGCAAGAATACACAGTATTTGCAGCGTTGACGCATAACGAAGTGCAAAACTCACTTAATAAATGTCTCACTTAACAACAGAAATTTTGGGCTCAGTTGTGGTGATAAGTCGAGGACTACCTATAAAACAAATTATTGTGATTTTTACAAGATGCTAAAAGAATGGTTAGATTTCCCCTGCATGAGTGCCGTGCATGCCTTTTTTATAGTGATTAAGACTTAAGACCTTTTTGTATATAAACTTTAAAATACTTATGTATTTTAGTGTCTTATGATCTTTTTCACACTTAAGACCATTACAGCATCCCTCACGATCACATGATCAATATCTGGATGCTTGGTAATTGGTTTGTATTTATGATAGTCACAGTGTCCCGGGGCCACGTGATCCCCTTCTGCAGCCTTCTGACGACGTCAATGGGGAAGCCAGATTCACTTAACAACTGTGTTAGTAATTTAACAACTGCAGTGATTCGCTTTACAACTTTGGCATGAAAGCTCATAAAAAAGTGCAAAACTCACTTAGCAACTGTCTCGCTTGACAACAAAAATGATGGGCTCAACTGTGGTCATAAGGTAAGGATGACTTGTACTACTTTATAAGTAACTGAAGGCAGCGAACATACTTAATGAAAGATTTGTTACAAATATAACCTGGAAACATAACTTGGTTACTGGGGTGTTCATGAATGCTCCAGGCCACAGGTGGAGAACGACGGCTTTTATGACTTGTGGACTTCAATTCCCAGAATTCCCCAGTCAATTCAATTCTGGAAATTGAAGTGCACGGGTCTGAAGGTTGCCAAGGTTGGGAAACTCTGTCTAGGCCTACTGAATTATCGCTTCCTTTAGCTTTCAAAAGGGGTTTACAAGTCAAAAGGCAGCATTTATCAGTGGAATACAAATTAATCAAATCAATAGACTGGAGGAGTGGGGAGAGTGACAGAATGATAGCAGAGTGAAAGGATAAATCTGGGCCCGGCCTCCATCTGGGTGTTATGGTTCCGGCTAATGAAACATTCCAAAGAACTTCCAGGCATTTATTTTCCTAAAAGTCTTTTATTGTTACAAAATGTCGGCACAGGCACAACGGAGGGATGCTAGGATCTAAGTTCTCTTCCTCTGAGCAGTTAAATTATCAGCATGTTCCCTCCCTAAATTAGCCGTCATATATCACATTATCCAATTGGTGTGAAGGTCAAAGGTTTTCTTCCTCTTTCTTTCCCGGGCTTTACCCCCAATCCCCCTTCTGCTCTGTATTAACCCCATAAATACCAGACAGTTCTGCATATTGTCAAAAGCAAGAATATACAATATTTGCAGCGTTGACGCTGGGATGGTCCTGCCCAACTGACCTGTGCCGGTGGGCGTGGCTTGTCCCAGAAGGGCGTCTGAGTTCTGGGTGGTGACCACCGCAGTCGTCCCTGCTCCGGCAGAAGTGCTGGTGTCGGCCACTGCGGTGGCAGGGTAATAAGTGTAGTGGGTCTCGGTGGCCGTGGCTTCGGAGTCCACTGCATCTTCGCTTGTGAATGCGCCTTGGATGACAGCCTAGGGGAGAAGCTCCAGAGAGTGACTTCAAGATTTATGGACTTCAATTCCCAGAGTTCCCCAGCTAGTCTTAAAGTTGCCAATTTGGAGACTCCTGTCTAGAGTCAAGCAGGGAACATGCTCTAGGACAGTGGTTCTCAACCTTTTTAATGCCGCAACTCCCAACCAGTCGTAAGTCGAGGACTACTCAACCAGTCGTAAGTCGAGGATTACTCAAGTGGTGCAGCACCGTTTGCAGAATGGGACTTTTGGCGGGCTCATCAGGGCAGAGACAGCCTGGACAATTCCTATTGGCTTTGGAAAGCCAATAGAATTAGACTCTATTCAAGAGAGTCTATTCTATTGGCTTTCAAAAGCCAGTAGAGTAAAAGGGAGTAGCACAGCTAAGGAAAAGGGGGAAAAAATGGCGGACTGCGTTGTTTGGCGACCCCCGTGAAATGGTCGTTCGACCCCAAATGGGGTCCCGACCCACAGGTTGAGAACCACTGCTCCAGGACCTTGGCCACCTGAAGAGGTGAGGACTTCAATTCTCAGAATTCTCCTCTCTTTCCTGGCAGCCAGGCGATTCAGCCCAACAACAGGGCTGCTTTCTCTTTCCCAGGAGCACCCACCTTCCTCTCCTCCAAATGGCCTACCTGGGTCATGGACTGTGTCGCAGGGTAGCCACTGATGGCCCCACTGCCCTCCGTCTGGCCATCCAGTTGGCCCTCGGCCACCTGTATGACTCTGTACATCAGCTGGAGGAAAGAGCAAAAAGAAGATTCAATTCGGGGTGGTGAACGTGGTAAACTAAGCATGGGGAGCTTGGATATTATTTATTTGAATCCCGCCTTTATTATTTTTATAAAAGCCTCAAAGCTGCAAACATATCCAACACACTTTCCTCCTATTTTCTCCGCAACAACCCTGTGAGGTGGGTTGGACTGAGAGAGAGAGGCAGACTGGCACAAGGTCACCCAGCTGGCTTTTGTACCTAAGGCGGGACTAGAACTCACCATCTCCTGGTGATTGGCCCAAAGTCACCCAATCAGGTTTCATGCCCAAGGTGTGACTAAAACTCACCGTCTCCTGGTGATTGGTCCAGAGTCACCCAACTGGATTTCAAATGAGGAAGCTAGAGTCACTTAATAATCATGTTGTTAACATAACAGCTGCAGTGATTCACTTAACAACTGTGGCAAGAAAGGTCGTAACATGGGGCAAAAGCCACTTAACAACTGTCCTGCTTAGGAACAGAAATTTTGGGCTCAATTGTGGTCATAAGGACTATAATTTGTTTTTCCCCTTTAAAAAGATACAAAATCAGAACAATCAGATCCATGTCATCTTGAACAGATAGAAAAATTACAAGCAGGTTTGCAATTAATACAATCAATTGACCTGCAATCCCTTTTGGAAATAAATACCAAATAGCAAGCAGGGACCCTGGAAATGACTTTTTTTCTGATTTTTTTTTTTAAGAGAGCAATGTAGGGAAAATGCGCCCCAAAGCCAGCTGATGCCTACAAATGTTAAATCCATATTTGCAGGCAGCAACGATGCAAATAAGCGAGAAAGTCCCTTTGTGCAAACCAAATTCTGTTTTAGAAGAATATGTTAGCACAGGGAGCCAGCAGCACAGAGATGCTATTTAGACCAGTGTTTCTCGACCTCCGCAAGTTTAAGATGGGTGGACTTCAATTCCCAGAATTCTACCCATCTTAAAGCTGTTCAGCTTGAGAAAACTCTGGTCTGGATCCTTGCTGAGTGGCAAAGAAGGAGGCCTTCTGGCAGTTGCTCACAGCACCTTACCTGAGCACCTCCATTCTCTGCTCGGAAGACATATTTGATGTTGGGATCCGGAAAGGTGGCTGCCGACTGGATGCTCGCAATGGCCACGCTGGTGGGATCTTCACCTGTCGCTACTGCTCCTTCAGGAAAGAAGAGAAAAGGGGCCGTAAAATAGGGCTGAAGCTCCCATTTTAATCCCCACCCTTCCCCAGGACTGTGCAGGGCAGATAGTCCTCAACTTACAGTCATTCGTTTAGTGACTGTGTGTTCTGTCCCAGCCCACTTGAGCTCCTTGGTTAAGTTAACAAGGAGAAAACCCCTCTTCAAATCAAGCAGGCAGAAACTGCAGGACAAACCCAAATCCCTTTTATTTACTCACAGATCTGAGGAAAACAAACACAGTTCATCACAACTTGATTCTTACCCGAACAGTTGCCTTTGGCAACCAGCACCTCCCACACCTCCCTTTTATTATGCAGCCAAGGCATGGCTTCCCTAATGCCTTCTCCTTTGCCTCTGGAGCCACCCCATTGCATGCCTCTGTCCTGCTCTCATTGCTTGCCGCCGTTTAGGAGCATCCTGGATATCACCCAGCTGTGAGTAGTCACTATCCCCCTGAGATTCCCAGCCCAGCTGTGTCTCAGCCTGAGCGCGAGTAGAGGGGCCAGGCTCCTGTCAGACTGTAAGTCTTGGAGCTCCGGATGCACGGGCTGGCGAGGAATCACAACACTGTGTGAAATTACATTGGCCCTGAAAATGTGACAGGACCGTTTTTCACACTTATGACCGTTGCAGCATTGCCATGGTCACGTGATCAAAATTTAGACATGTGGCAACTGACTTATATTTAGGACGGTTGCAGTGCCCTGGGGTCATGTGATCCCCTCTTGCGAACTTCTCACAAGCATAGTCAGTGGGGAAGCCAGATTTGCCCAATAACCATGTTACTACCGTATTTTCCGGCGCATAAGACGACTTTCTAAACCCTGAAAATCTTCTCAAAATTTGGGGGTTGTCTTATACACAGGAATATACGGGTAGCTGTTCTCTGAATTTAAAACCAATCTGCCCCTTAGTGGCCAGCCCTATTTTTTTTACAGAAATAAGCACTAACAGGACAAAGCTTTCTAGCAGCAAAGGAATGGAGCTCCTATTGTGCTCATCTATAAACAGAAATTCAATATTGTACTGTATTTTCTGGCGTATAAGACGACTTTCTAAACCAGTGGTTCTCAACCTCTCTAATGTCGCGACCCCATAATACAGTTCCCCATGTTGTGGTGACCCCCAACCACTTATACATCACCGGGTGCCAGGGGCGTGGCCAAAGAAAAGGGGAAAAAATGGTGGACAGCCTTGTTTGGCGACCCCTGTGAAATGGTCGTTCGACCCCAAATGGGGTCCCGACCCACAGGTTGAGAACCATTGTTCCAAACCCTGAAAATCTTCTCAAAAGTTGGGGGTCGTCTTATACGCCCAGTCGCCTTATACGCCGGAATATACGGTAACTTAACAACTGAAGTGATTACTTAACAACTGTGGCCAGATAGGTCGTAAAAGGGAGCAAAATTCACTTAACAACTGTCTTGCTTAGCAGCAGAAAGTTTGGCCTCAACTGTGGTTGTAAATCGAGGACTACTTGTGTCCCCACAATCAAAAATAAAATCTAAAGTAGGCTCAGACCTTATTTGGGTGGGAGACCACCAGGAAACCTCAGACTTTCCCAATCGAGGCGAGGAAACACATCCCAAAACTATGTCTGTAACATCGCCAAAAAAACTGTATAGACAAATCCTGGAGGAAGAGAAAATAAAACAGGGCTGGAGGATGCTCACCTTCCTGGATCTGAACCGTCCCCTCTTCTGTCTCTGATGCTTTCTGCTGCCTGCTGAGACAAGGAGGACCACGTGAGATGGGGACATTCTTTCCATCAGATATCTTATTTTTGAAGGAGAATATTTGGCGCTCTGGGTTGAAATAAGGGGTCCTTGATGCTCTCAGAGCTTGCACGGATGAGGTTACCCGATTAGGATAATGAAATGTCTGCAAGACAACAAGCAGGCTCAAAGGACATCAAGGACCCCTTATTTTTTTTATGGATCACATTTAGAGACCATTCGTCTCTCTCACAGAGCGATTGTGGGTCCTCTTGGGATACGCAGTGTTTCCCAAACTTGACAATTTTAAGGCATGTGGACTTCAACTCCCAGAATTCCACAGCCAGCATTGCTGGCTGTGGAATTCTGGGAGTTGAAGTCCACATGCCTTAAAATTGTCAAGTTTGGGAAACACTGGGATAGGGTGAGGCAGACCTTGCTTAGCTGGATGCTGGTTAGACAAGGGATTAAAGATGATAAAGGACCTGGAGGTTAAATTGTGTGAACGATTGAGGGAGCTAGGTATGTCTAGCCTACTGAAGGCAAGGATTAGGGGGGACATGATAGCAGTCTTCCAGTACGTGAGGGGCTGCCACAAAGAAGAGGGCGTCAACTTATTTTCCAAACCACCAGAAGACAAGAAGCAACAGATGGAACTAATCAAGGAGAGAAGCAACCTGGAACTAAGAAGACATTGACTGACAGCGAGAATAATTAATTACTGGAACAACTTGTCTCTAGAAGTTGTGGGTGTTCCAACACTGGAGGTCTTCAAGAAGAGACTGGACAGCCAGTTCATCAGGGTAGTATAAGGACTCCTACCTTGAGCAGGGGGCTGGACTAGAAGACCTTCAAGGTGCCTTCCAGCCTTAGGATTCTAAGACACACACATCTGGAGAACCTTTGTTCCTAAAAAAGAGGTTCCATCCGCCAAAGGCTCAGATATATTTTTATACTGAGGGAGGGGCTTGGAGATTTTGTATCGCATTATTAAAGTTTCCACTAGTTTTCAGAGTTTATTTCATGTATTTTAAGTTCTCAGTTTCCTAAATGCAATCGGGGTGAGTACATACTTTGTTTCCAAGTCAGCCTTCTTCATCCTCGGCTTGGTGGATAAGCCAGACATGCACAGAAGACAAAAGTCTACATGGGTTTTTAAGACAGTTGAAGATCTAATGTCATTCGCAACCTTGGCCACTTTTAAGATGTCTGAACTTCAACCCCCAGAGCTGGCTGGGGAATTCTGGGAGTTGAAGTCCAGGCATCTTAAAAGTGCCCAAGGTTGAGAAACGGTGCTCTAAGTGTCTGCCCTCACACTTCATTAGCCTGGTATTAGCCTTGATTATCATTTTTGTGACTTAGTCCATGGTGCAAATCCAGCTTGTGGGCTTAGTGTATCACTGAATATTTATACAATTTTTTTGCTGCAACCTGAGCAAGCAGATATGTACAGCAAACCTGGGCTACTTTGATTCGAAGAAATCACCCCAGTAACTTGGCTCTCAAGGTCAAAGTAGGGATACCGTACCAAGAGCCACTAATTTTTCTCCCATTTCTCTCCTCAGGCCAATATTGTGCAAATACAGCATTGGCAAACTCAGAAAATGGATTATTCAATGATCACATTGAAGCAGGATATAACAACTGCAGTGATTCGCTTAACAACTTTAGAATAGAATAGAATAATAGAATAGAATAGAATAGAACAGAACAGAATAATAGAATAGAATAATAGAATAGAATAGAATGGAATAATATAATAGAATAATAGAATAGAATAGAATGGAATAATAGAATAGAATAGAAGAATAGAATAGAACAGAATAATGGAATGAAGAATAGAATAGAATAGAATAGAATAGAATAGAATAGAATAGAATAGAATAATAGAATAGAATAATGGAATGAAGAATAGAATAGAATAGAATAGAATAGAATGGAATAATAGAATAGAATTGAATAATAGAATAGAATAATAGAATAGAATAGAATAATAGAATAGAATAGAATAATAGAATAGAATAGAATAGAATGGAATAGAATGGAATAGAATAGAATAGTAGAATGGAATAATAGAATAGAATAGAATAATAGAATAGAATAGAATAGAATAGAATAGAATAGAACAGAGTAGAACAGAATAGCTTTATTGTCACTTTGAATGTACACTAATTGGTATACATTAAAATGAAATTTCATTGCATTCAGCTCTCAAAGGGTCACCCTATACACTACATAAATATGACAAAAATAAATAAATACAGAATTATGCATATATCCACATATATTCTATGACACAAAGAAACAAAACAGTCTAGTTCGGGTTATGTATACATACACATGGTGAGAAAAATGAATCTTGCGAGTTTCCCAGACGGAGGGCACAGGGAACAAAGCTATTACAGAATCGGGTAGTCCAGCTAGAAATACTTCAAAACCTCCTCGCAGAGGGGAGCAACAGGAACAGACCGTGAAGTGAGGTCTTTTAACAATACTCTGAGCTCTAAGCACATATAAGCGCTTATAAGCAGCGTCCTGAATACCAGGGAGTGAGCTTCCTATGAACTTTGGCAAGAAAGGAAGCCAAATGTGGCAAAACTGAACAAACGACTGCCTCACTTAGCAAGAGAAAAGTGCCAACTATAACTGAAGCCCAACTTTCAGCAGTTGTAGCATTCAGTAGCACTTGGAGCAGGGGTTCTCAACCTTGGCAACTTTAAGACTTGTGGACTTCAACTCCCAGAATTCCTCAGCCAGCTTTGAAGTCCACAAGTCTTAAAGTTGCCAAGGTTGAGAACCCCCGAGTCTTGGAGGAACTTGGGTTATTCCCTCTGAAATAAATCCAAAGCTTGCTATCATGTTTTACAGAAGGAGCAGTTGCCTAGGCTCACCCCTATCCTACATGGCTGGCTGGGAAATTCTGGGAGTTGAAGTCCAGAAGAATGGCCAAAGGTGGAAACTCGGCCCTAGCAAGATCATGTTGGCCAGGAGGGGAAGTAGGGGAAGGGAAATTCAGTTCAAAATTGGCCTGTTTATTCTCCTGTTAAGTCTTCTCCTACACTGGGTCTTCAAACCCTGATACTGATGGGTCTCTCTTTGAGTAACTGGTTTTAGCAGCAAGGAGCATTTTTTGATAAACGTTCCTAGTTCTTTGAAGTAACCAGCAAGAATGCGGATTCCGATAAAGGACCAGCCAGAGAGTAGAATTGCCCGAAGAGATAGCAAAGCAACAGCATTTAGACTTATATACCACTTCATAGTGCTTTATAGCCCTCTCTAAATGGTTTAGAGCAGTGGTTCTCAATCTTTTTAATGCCGCGACCCCCCCCCCAACCGGTCGTAAGTCGAGGACTACTCAACTGGTCGTAAGTCGAGGACTACTCAACTGGTGCAGCACCGTTTGCAGAATGGGACTTTTGGCGGGCTCAGCAGGGCAGAGACAGCCTGGACAATTCCTATTGGCTTTTGAAAGCCAATAGAATTAGACTCTATTCAAGAGAGTCTCTTCTATTGGCTTTCAAAAGTCAATAGAATAAAAGGGAGGAGCACAGCTAAGGAAAAGGGGGAAAAAATGGCGGACTGCGTTGTTTGGCGACCCCCATGAAATGGTCGTTCGACCCCAAATGGGGTCCCAACCCACAGGTTGAGAACCACTGTTTAGAGTCAGCATGTTGCCCCCAACAATCTGGGTCCTCATTTTACCGACCTCAGAAGGATGGAAGACTGAGTCAACCTTGAGCCATGAGGATCGAACTCCTGGCAGTGGGCAGAGTCAGCCTGCAATACTGCATCCTAACCACTGAGCCACCACAACTGAAATCTCACTCTAATGTAGGAAACACACCTCGATCATCAACATGATTGTGCTAAGAATATCATGGGATGCTTTTAATTGTTGCATGGTACACATAGAACTACTACTCTGGATGCCTGATGACACTAATGATGCTGGCCAATTGATAAAGACGTTCCAAAGCCAAAAAGTCTGAACTGCACATAAAGTGATTTCTTATCTTTGTAAGGGCCTCTCACCTTGCATCCATGGGAGACCTCTCTTTTACTTATGCATAAATAAAGCGATATGAATTTATCTTTCCAGCTCGGATCCTACTTTACCAAGAGCCCCCTGCGCCAAGAACCTTGCTATTGTTTATGGCTAATAATATATTCAAAATATGGTTCTCACCCCTTCATTTCTTTAGTCGGTTATGCATCAGAAGTTCTCACCCTGGACTTCTTTTCTTTTCACTGTCCCTTCTTCAGAGTTACTTCATCCAAAACCTAAAAGAAAGTTAAAAAAAAAAAAACATTCAGGAAGACCACGTTCCTGTATTTTACAGAGAGTCCTCAACTTATGACCACAACTGAGCTCAACATTTCCATTACTAAGCAAGACAGTTGTTAAGTGAGCTTTCCCCTATTTTATGACCTTCCTTGACAGTTTGTCATGGCTGTCATTCTGCTAGCTTTGCCTCCTCATCTGCCAGCAAGACACTGGCAACAGGGGGAGGGAGGGGATTGGAATGTGGGATGGAGAAGGGGGGGAGGTTGGGAACCAAACTGTGCCAGCCGGAAAGTGAAACCCACCAGTCCAACCGAAAGAATGTGGCCATGCAGAAGGCGTGAACTGAGGGCCAAGTTACCTAAACAGCATGAAGACCGCTACCGTACTTTCCGGCGTATAAGACGACTTTCTAAAGCGTTGAAATTGGCGCCAAAGTCGGGGGTCGTCTTATACGCCGGAAATAACAGTAGTTTCCGGCGTATAAGGCGACTTTCTAGGCATGCGACTCGGCGCCGAAGTCAGGGGTCGTCTTATACGCCGGGTCGCCTTATACGCCGGAAAATACGGTAATTGGACCCTGACTGATAACAGGTGGATGGCCAGGGTGAAGGGGAAAGTTAATTGCAGGTTTTACAGATTCCACTTTGTTCCTTCTGCAGCCACTTCTGCTCTCAGTAAAGGCAAACAATGGGCTAGGAGTCTTTCCTTGCTAACAAGTGGGAGGGTTGATACAGCTGTTCAGTGAGTAACTGAGGTTGTTAAGTTAGTTACACGGTTGTTAAGTGAATCTGGCTTCCCCGCTGACTTTGCCTGTCAGATGATTTCACAAAAGGGGATCACGTAACCTCACGCACTGCAACCGTCATAAATGTGAACCAGTTGCCAGGCATCCGAATTTTATAATAATAATAATAATAATAATAATAATAATAATAATAGGAGTAGTAGTAGTAATAGTAGTAGTAGTAATAATAATAATAATAAGTAAAGTTGGAAGGGACCTTGGAGGTCATCTAGTCCAACCCCCTGCTCAGGCAGGAAACCCTACACCATTTCGGACAAATGGCTGTCCAGTCTCTTCTTAAAAACTTCCAGTGTTGGAGCATTTACTGCTTCTGGAGGCAGGTTGTTCCACTGATTAATTGTTCTCACTGTCAGGAAGTTTCTCCTTAGTTCTAGGTTGCTTCTCTCCTTGATTAGTTTCCACCCGTTGCTTCTTGTCCTGCCTTCAGGTGCTTTGGAAAATAGCTTGATTCCCTCTTCTTTATGGCAGCCCCTGAGATATTGGAATACTGCTATCATGTCCCCCCTTGTCCTTCTCTTCGTTAAACTAGACATACCCAATTCTAGCAACCGTTCCTTATAAGTTTTAGCCTCCAGTCCCCTAATCATCTTTGTTGCTCTTCTCTGTACTCTTTCTAGAGTCTCAACATCTTTTTTACATCGTGGTGACCAAAACTGGATGCAGTATTCCAAGTGTGGCCTTACCAAGGCATTGTAAAGTGGTATTAATATTTCACGTGATCTTGATTCTATCCCTCTGTTAATGCAGCCTAGCACTGTGTTGGCCGTTCTCTTGCTTTCTAGGTCAGCACCTTCACCCCGACTCCTAACTGGTTTCCCGATTCTGCAACTCTAGATAATTGCCATGTCTACAAGTGGCCCTTAATGAGCTCTTGAATGGCATTGTGCAATCTCCATACCTGAGACCTTGCCTGGGCAGGCAGAAGGGAAAAAAAATCAACTTCCACTGAAGAAGCAAGAGCAGTCAAAACCTGATGGGCACATTTATTAATTTGCTGCCCCCCCCCACTAAATCACCAGAGGGGGCCATTCCCATATTAAATCTCTGCTGGGCCAGGAATCAATCTCTTTCTCTTCCTCCCTCCCCCCCTTTCCTCCCTTCGTCTTCCCCATCTTTATTATTTTTATAAATAACTCAAGGCAACAAACATACATAAATACTCCTCCCTCTTCCTATTTTCCCCACAACAACCCTGTGAGATGAGTTGGGATGAGAGTGAGGGACTGGTCCAAGGTCACCCAGCCAGTTTTCATGCCCAGAACTCCCAAGTTTCCTGGTGACTGGCCCAAAGTTACCCAGCTGGCTCTGGTGCTTAAGGCAGGATTAGAATTCACCATCTCATGATTTCTAACCTGGCGACCACAACCAAAGTGGCTCTGTACAATATTCTTCTGTAAACCCATAAACAAAGCATGGTGGTTGTGGAGAAAATGGATGGAATGTAGAGGTATGTTTGCTTGAGGTATATATTTACTTATTAAATTTATGGCTCTGAAAGTTGGACCATCAGAAAGGCTGAGCGCCAAAGAATGGAGGCCTTTGAACTCTGGTGCTGGAGAAGACTCCTGCGAGTCCCTTGGATTGCAAGGCGTTCAAACCGGTCAGTCCTAGAAGAGATCAACCCCGACTGCTCTTTAGAAGGCCAGATCCTGAAGTGGAAACTCAAATACTTTGGCCACCTAATGAGAAGGAAGGACTCCCTGGAGAAGGGCCTAATGCTGGGAAAGCTTGAGGGCAATAGAAGAAGGGGACGACAGAGAATGAGGTGGCTGGATGGAGTCACTGAAGCAGCAGGTGTGAACTTAAATGGACTCTAGAAGATGGTAGAGGACAGGAAGACCTGGAGAAACGTGGTCCATGGGGTCGCGATGGGTCGGACACGACTTCGCAATTAACAACATTAAATTTATATGCCACCCATCTCACATTGAAAGTGACTATATAAAAAAAGTGGGACATAAATAATAATAATTGACAAAATCCCCAGCAGGAAATTGCAAAAGAACTTGGAAGTGTTTCCATCTTTTAGCGCCACCAAGGAACAACATCCGCCTATGCCAGGTCCTTAGAAAGGACTCGAGTGGTAGATAAAAATGCCAAATGCCAATTTGAACATCTGGCTGACTGTGTTAGCAACCATAATAATAATCTGGGTACATCAGAACAGAAGAGAAAAATCTCGAAAAGATAACAAAATACAAAGTCCTGCAAGCAAAGGTAGTCCCAATAGCCCAATTGTAATAGGTGCCCTGGGTACCATCCCAAAACATCTGGAACATCATTTGAATCCACTGGCATTGACAAAATTCTCATCAATGAATTGCAAAAGGAAGTTTGACTCGGCAGGGCTTACATCTTGCAAACAAATCTTTAATATAATTCTTTATTGGCCAAGTGTGATTGGACACATAAGGAATTTGTCTCTGGTGCATAACCTCTCAGTGTATATGCAAGCAACAAGTGATAAATCATGACCATAATCATAAAATACAATCATAAATCATAAGATTAGGCAAAACCTGGCTCAGAAACAATAACTGTGAGAGGGACCTTGGAGTCCTAGTGTACGATCACTTAAACATGAGCCAGCCATGTGCAACAGCAGACCAAAAAAGCTAATACAATCCTAAAGAGAGGCATAGAATCAAAATCACGTGAAATATTAGTACCGCTTTGTATATTTAGTAAGGCCACACCTGGAATACTGCATCCAGTTTTGATCACCATACTATTAAAAAGATGTTGAGACTTTGGAAAAAGTGCAAAGAAGAGCAACTAAGATGATTAAAGGTCTGGAGACTAAAACATATGAAGAATGGTTACAGGATTTGGGTAAGGCCAGTCTAGAGAAAAGAAGGACTAGGGGTGACATGACAGCAGAATTCCAATATTTGAGGGGCTGCCACAAAGAAGAGGGGGGTCATCCTATTCCCCAAAGCACCTGAAGGCCAGACAAGAAACAATGGATGGAAACTAATCAAAGAGACAAGCAACCTGAAATTAAGGAGAAACTTCCTAACAGCAAGGACAATTAACCAGTGGAACAGCTTCCCTCCAGACCTTGTGGGTACTTCATCACTCAAGGTTTTTAAGAAGAGAGATGGAAATGTAGCCACTTTTTCTCTTTCACTTTTAGGGTTAGTTCAGTGGTTCTCAACCTGTGGGTCGGGACCCCATTTGGGGTCGAACGACCATTTCACGGGGGTCGCCAAACAACGCAGTCCGCCATTTTTCCCCCTTTTCCTTAGCTGTGCTCCTCCCTTTTATTCTATTGGCTTTTGAAAGCCAATAGAAGAGACTCTCTTGAATAGAGTCTAATTCTATTGGCTTTCCAAAGCCAATAGGAATTGTCCAGGCTGTCTCTGGCCTGCTGAGCCCGCCAAAAGTCCCATTCTGCAAATGGTGCTGCACCAGTTGAGTAGTCCTCGACTTACGACTGATTGGGGGTTGCGGCATTAAAAAGGTTGAGAACCACTGAGTTAGTTGATGTTGGGAGGGGAGATGTGGATGAGAGTTCAGTTAGTTATAACAATAACAACTCAGCCATGAGGTCCAGAGTTGATAAGGATTTGGTGGGCTGGAGAGCTGGGGAAAAAGCCATCCTTCAAGCTAATTGGGGAATGTGATTTATGACTGTTAATTGGAGGAGGGAATTGTGCTTTGCTACTTTGTGCTCAGGGGAGGGGAATTCAGTTTTTGGCTTTAACTATATAGTACTGATACTTTGTTTCTCGAATAAAAGATTCTTTAAGGTAAACAATGCCTTGAAGTTCTTTCGAAGAGTTTCATCTGTTGGAACCATGACATAGGGCCGTGGTGGCGAACCTACAGCAGGCGTGCCACAGGTGGCACACAGAGCCCTCTCTGTGGGCACGCACACCATTGCTCCAGTCCTAGGCCTTCAGCTGGGTTTTATAAAACCTTTTCACTTTAGACCTCCACCACCATGTGCAAAAAAAAAAAAAAAAAAAGGTTCAATCAACTTCAACTCCCAGGGGGAAAAAAAGATCTTGCAAAGTTGAAATTGATTGGTTGAACTTTTTAGTCCCACCCAGTCTGGCGTTACCACTGCAGCCACGCCCACTCAATGGGCCACGCTTATCCAATTGGCCACACCCAGCCAATGAGCCACGCCCACCCGGCACCCAACGATACATGTGGGTTTTGGGTTGCAGTTTGGACACTCGGGTCTCTAAAAGGTTCGCCATCACTGACATACGGTCTCCTGCTTGAGCAGAGAATTGGACTAGAAGACTTCCAAGGTCCCTTCCAGTTCTATTTTGATTGATTGATAAGATAAAAACTCAGTGATAATCATAGGATATTAATTAAGCAAACAACATCAATCATAATAGGATACTAAATAAAGGCAATCAACAAAAGTCAGTGATTGTAGATTAAAAATGCCAAGCCCAGTCTAAATATCTGACTGATGGTGCAAGTAACCATAATTCTGGTAATACACAGTAATACTATCAGCATTGACAAAATCCTCCTTGGTCAATTGCAAAAGGCAGTTGTGCTTGGAACAGTTTACATCCTGCGGATGAGACCTTTAATATTATTAAATAATAACATCTGTCTATCTCAGGTCTTTGGGAAGAACTCCAGAGCTGGAAAAAATGCCCAAACCAGTCTAAACATCTGGCTGACCGTGCGATGATCCATAATAAGCTTACATCCTGGGATGAGACCACTAATACCATCAAAAATCTGCTTCTCCCAGGTCCTTGGGAAAGACTAAGTGGATTAAAAATGCCAAATCCAGTCTAAACATCTGGCTGACCAATCACAATATTATAATACTATTGGTACTGACAAATTCACCATCAGTTCATTGCAAAAGACAGCTGTACTTGGAGCAACTTATGTTCTGCTTACGGTACTTTTAATATTACTATAACATCTGCCTCTCCCAGGTGCTGAGGAAGCACTCCAGAGGTGGATAAAAATGCCAAATCCAGTCTAAACATCTGACTGACAGTGCAACCCACCAAAATATTATAACACTATCGGTATTGGCAAATTCACCAACTGTTAATTGCAAAAGGCAGCTGTATTCGGAACATCTTACATTCTGTAACCAAATATTTATATTTATTTATTATAACATCTGCCTCTCCCAGGTCCTGGGGAAGCACTCCAGAGGTGGACAAAAAATGCCAAATCCAGCCTGAACATCTGGCTATGTGACCATCCACGATAACAATAGTAAGTTCACATCCTGGCATGAGACTTTTAACCCCATCAAAAATCCACATCTATCCCCAGATTCCTTGGGAAGGACTCCAGAAGTAGATAAAAATGTCAATGTAAACTTCTGGCCAACCATAATAATAATAATAACAACAACAACAACAACAACAAGAAGCAGCGGCATGACAAAGTAGCAACAATGGTGCATTGGAAGATCTGCCAAAAATATCATTTGCCTGTAAGCAAAAACTGGTGGGATCATAAAATAGAGAAAGTCATAGAAAATGATAAAACTAAAATGCTCTGGGACTTCAGAATTCAGACAGACAAGCACCTGCAACATAACACCCCAGACTTAACAATTGTCGATAAGAAAGACAAAAAAGTCTGGATAGTGGACGTGGCAGTGGCTGGAGACAGCAGAATAGACGAGAAAGAACTGGAGAAGATAACAAAATACAAAGACCTACAAATAGAAATAGAAAGACTGTGGCAAAAGCAAGCAAGGGTAGTACCAATAGTCATAGGTGCCTTGGGTGCAACCCCAAAACAACTGGAGCACCACTTGAACACCATCATCGGCATTGACAAATTCGCCATTAGTCAATTGCAAAAGGCGGCCTTACTAGGAACTGCTTCCATCCTGCGACGATATCTGTAATACCATCAAACATCCACATCTGCCTATCCCAGGTCCTGGGTAAGGACTCGATAGGTAGACAAAATGCCAAATCCAGTCTGAACATCTGGCTGACTGTGCGATGATCCACAATAATAATAACAACAACAACAACCGGAGCACCACTTGAACACAATTGGCATTGACAAATTCGCTATTAGTCAATTGCAAAAGGCGGCCTTATTAGGAACTGCTTCCATCCTGCGACGATACCTGTAATACCATCAAACTTCCACATCTGCCTATCCCAGGTCTTGGGTAAGGACTCGATAGGTAGACAAAATGCCAAATCCAGTCTGAACATCTGGCTGACTGTGAGATGATCCATAATAAAAAAAAAACCAGAATCGCCCTCAATCCATTATCAAAGGCAACTCAACTTGTGACCGGTTGCAACCTGATGATGATGAGACCCTGGACCCCCCCCCACCAAGCACCCACACCTGCCCCTCCCCAGCTGCTCCAGAGGTGGATAAAAAAAGGCCCAACCCAGCCTCAACATCTGGCTGGCTGGCCCACCAACCACCCTCACAACTCGAGGCCCTGAGGACTGGGGGCCAGAACGTTGCTGCGGGGTCCAGGAGCAACCAGGGTCTCCCTCGCTGGAGGTTTCGGGCTGGGCTATGTGGCCCTTGGCCGGAGAGCCCGACTAGATGACCTCCAGGGTACCCTGGGGCTCGGTGTTCTATGGAGAACTGGGTAGGGGGCGGCTTCCCCATCGCCCCGCCGGGGCCCATGGGGACCCCCCACACACCCCCCCCCCATGTCTCCTTGGGAGGCGCGGCCTTCGCTTCCTCCTGCTTGGGAAACGCCCCCAAGAGCCAGGCGGGGAAAGGCCGCGGGGCCTCCGGACAAAGAGGCGGGCTGCTGAGGGAGGCGGAAGCCCACCGGGGGCGCCCATGGGCCTCTCCCCGCCCCGCCCCGCCTTAACCGGGAGGCGCCGTCCTCACCTGGGCTGCCCTCCGTCCCTCGGAGCCCCTCGGCGCTCCATGAAGATCGGCGCATGCGCACCGCGACGCTCGCCCGCCTTCCTCACTCCCACAACTTCCGCCTTCTTCCCTCACCGCCAGCGGGGCCCGATGGGGGAGCGGAAGCCACACACCCACAAGCCCCGCCTCCAGCCTCCTCTCCCCGCCGGTCGCCGGAAGCTGGGCGCCCGGATGGCCTATTCTTCTGGTAGCGGCCATTTTGAGGAGAGAGAGAGAGGGGGGGGGAGGGACAACCTCGGCCCTCCATCTTGAGATTGAAAGGGCGACCGGCGAGAGGGCGCTTGGAGTCCGAGCGCCCGGAGTCCGAGCGCCCGGGCTCGTCTCTGGCGTCGGGTCCTACGAGTGATGTTTTTAAAGATACGGCATGTCGTACAACGGCAGAAACAGCGCTTTAGAAACAAAGCCGGAAGAGCACTTACGCAATTTCCGGTTGCCGCCCTCCTGGCGAGCCGCCAATATAGAAGCACGGCGTGGGCGCCATCTTGAAAAGGGGCGCTGGTTTCTGCCTTTGTCAACTTCCGGTCTATGCGCTTCCTCCAGTGGGCAGTTTTGGGGTCGTCTTTCTTTGGGGGGCGCCCAAGTAAAAATTCCAACGTCGAAAATAGCTTCCCTTCGTACGCTGCTAGTCTGTACGTTGCTCATTGTGGAGAATATTCTGCAAGTGTCACTGGAAATTAGAAGTATTCCTTCTGCTTGTGGGTGGATGCAACTCCAGACTACAACCCCCATAATTCCTTCATTCCACCCAGCACGCCTACTATCTCAGTAGGAATTAGAATAACGGGTTCTCCACCTTGGCAACTTTAAGACTTGTGGACTTCAACTCCCAGAATTCCTCAGCCAGCAAAGCTGGCTGAGGAATTCTGGGAGTTGAAGTCCACAAGTCTTAAAGTTGCCAAGGTTGAGAACCCCTGGATAGAATAACAGAGTTGGAAGGGACCTTGTAGGTCATCTAGTCCAATCCCTTGCTCAAGCAGGAGACCCTACCTACAACATCATTCCTGATAGATGGCTGTCCTGTCTTTTCTTAAAAGCCTCCAGGGATGAACTCCCACAACTTCTGAAGGCAACTTCTGTTCCACTGACTGATTGTTCTCAGTGTCAGGAAATTTCTCCTTATTTCTAGGTTGAATCTCTCCTTGACCAGTTTCCTTCCGTTATTCCTTGTCTGTCCTTCAGGTGCTTTGGAAAATAGGGTGACCCCCCTCCTCTCTGTGGAAGCCCCTCAGATATTGGAAGGCTGCTATCAGTGTTAGGAATAAAATTTTAGAATAAAAAGTAAAGTTAAGTGACACGTACTGTGTAAAATTTCTACACGCAGACAGAAAGATTTCTACACAAAATTTCTACACGTAGACTGCAAGATTTCTACACAATTTCTACATGTACACGTACCTTGGAAGAGTTCTGCACGTAGGCTATAGGATTTCCACACTGAGCTATAGGATTTCATGATAAAGTACATATAAGGCAGTGGTTCTCAACCTTTCTAATGCCGCGACCCCATAATACAGTTCCCCATGTTGTGGTGACCCCCAACCACTTATACATCACTGGGTGCCAGGGACGTGGCCAAAGAAAAGGGGGGAAAAATGGCGGACAGCCTTGTTTGGCGACCCCCGTGAAATGGTTGTTCGACCCCAAATGGGGTCCCGACCCACAGGTTGAGAACCACTGATATAAGGGAATAGGTGAAGCAAAATAGTAAGGGGCAGGGATAATGTATTTTGTTTAGGCGATCCTGATAAGATTGTAACCTCAGAGGAGGGGCCAAGGCGTCGGGATAGAATGTATATAATGTGAGTTTTAGCTGTGACTAGGTGTGGCTCAAATATTTATTTGGAGTCCACCACGCTTTGCAAACCGTTGTAGCCAATAAATCTCTGTCTAATTTCAACTTGCTGTTTGGTGTTATTCAGTGGGCTAGAATTTCTACCAACATCAGCTCACCCATAATCCTTTTTAGTAGACCTGCCATGCTCAGTTCCTGCAACCATTCTTCATACGTTTTAGCTTCCAGTCCCCTAATCATCTTTGTTGCTCTTCTCGGCATTCTTTCCAGAGTCTCTACATCCTTTTTATAGTGTGGTGACCAAAACTGGGTGCAGTATTCTAGGTGTCTTACTAAGGCTTTATAGATCGGTGTTAGTACATCGCGTAATCTTGATTGAATCCCTCTGTTAATACAATCTAGGATTGCATTGGCTTTTTTGGCTGCCGCCACACACAGTTGGCTCATGTTTAATTGATTGTCCATTAAGACTCCAAGATCCCTCTCACAGTTAACTACTATTAAGCCTTTTTTCACCCAATCTATGTTATGGGCATTCAAGCTGAAAAGTTCAACATCCCTAAATTTACAGTCATTTTAATACAGAGCTTATAAATCTCATTCACTTTCTACTCCCCAAATTCCCCAGCGAGCAGTGCTGGCTGAGGAATTCTGCTAATTGTTATCCACATGTATCTATCTATCTATCTATCTATCTATCTATCTATCTATCTATCTATCTATCTATCTATCTATCTATCTAACCATCTATCCATCCATCCATCCATCCATCCATCCATCCATCCATCATGTGAATCTAATCTAATCTAATCTAATCTAATCTAATCTAATCTATCTATCTATCTATCTAACCATCTATCCATCCATCCATCCATCCATCCATCCATCCATCCATCCATCCATCATGTGAATCTAATCTAATCTAATCTAATCTAATCTAATCTAATCTAATCTAATCTATCATTTGCAGAAGGGACTTGGCCTGGCTGCCTTTCCAGGGCTGGGAGGGACTGGCTCAAAGAGCCCCAGCTGGCTTTGTGTTATGACAAGACTCAAACTTGCAACTTCCTGGTTTCCAGCCCAATGCATTTAGCCACAACATTAAATTTCCCCCCATATTATTAGATACATAATGGGCATTTATGTGTAAAAGTAGAGCTTAATTTCTTACTATCTTCTATCTATATAAATAAAAATGTAAATGTTCGTTTGTTGAAAATCTTAAATCTCCGAAAGTTCTTCACCGATTGCTTTGAAATTTTGACACAATGTTGCATTCGAATACACGCGTGTTTTTATATTATATAGATGTCACACCTGTGACAGGTAAAAACATGCTTTTTTTTTCAAAAACAGCGCCATCTGTTGGGTGTAAAAGCAACACACGCTACGTGCGCTTTCTCTTTTCTTTCTTTTCCATTTAACCAGACTGAGCTACAGCTAGTTTTATGTAAAAATGAACATGTAAACAAGCATTCCAATTATTGAAAAAGTTTTGCTTCTTCACTTCTTGAACAAGAAATGAAATGTTTTCAAAGGAAAAAAAAACACAAAGTCCAGTTCACTTCTAGAAAAAGTACCTTTAGGATAACCATGACCTGGATGACTGAGAATCTCCAAAGACATTCATTTTCCAATTTTAAAACTTTTAACTGGGTATGAAACCTGAGAGGATTTGTTCATAGTTTGTCTAAGCATACAGACTAACATTCTTGCTTGTATCCTTGTCATTAAAATAGCACAAAGGAACATGCACTCAATATACATGAATTATGCTGTCAGATCCAATTACTTTCAGATCAGTCAGTAACTTTAATAACTAATAACTTGGAAAAAGAGCAATCAGACACGTAACATTTGGCCAGCCAGTTCTCTTGCTTCATATCAAGATATTCTACCCTTTTAGATTACATTTCCACCCAAATAGGTGTCTTGATATGTACAATCCATACCCTTTTCTATTTTAAATATAGTACACTGTGTTCAAATAACCTGCTAAAGCCACAGTGAAACCACAATTAATTGGATTATAATACAACACTCTTTTAAGGCAGTGTTTCTAACCTTGGGAACTTTAAGATATATTGGACTTCAACTCCCAGAATTCTGGAAGTTGACGTTCATGCATCTTAAAGCATGATGGCAGGGGAATTCTGGGAGTTGAAATCCACCCATCTCAAAGTTGCCAAGTTTGAAAAATACTGTTCTAAGGCACGAATAAGGTTTATTTTTGCAGCCCAGAACCTCATCAGTTTCATAATACTGAAATCTGACAGCAAGATTTGATATTGTTTAATTTTCTCTGTTAAAAATATTTTAAGGCCTTAGCTGTATTTAAACTAGGTGTGCTGAACATACCTAAGGGATGAGTTTATACTCCTTGGCTAATTGTGGTTCAGCTCTTGTCTTGCTATATTTTGGGTATCGCATAATCCCGTTGTGTTGTTGTTCGTCCATCGATTTCGATGAGGACCTTGACATCTTGTGGGTTATGGGCCATCAACGATGTGTCCGTAGGTGGCTAATAAGATCGATGTTAGCACGGAATGTTCTGCCACATACTGAACAAAGAAATGTAGACACTGTTACTTCAGCTCTGGCTTTGCAGAGTGCTCGCTTTTCTTGTGCCAAGATTGTCCTTCTGTGTTCATATGTCTGGCAACCCTGGTACACCAAGGTGCGCCATGTCGGTCAATCATGCACCAGAAGTTCCCAAGAGATGGTGTTAATATCCAGGGACTTAAGAGAGGCTTTCAACGTGTCTTTGTATCGCTTCTTTTGTCCCCCGTGCGATCGCTTTCCTTGAGACAGCTCACCATAGAAGAGCTGTTTAGGGATGCGATGATCTGGCATACCTGGGCCCTTGTGTGATGAGGACACAGTCATTGCATTAACAAAAAAGCCCGGTTTAGCCCCCAAAACAGAAAATGTGGCCCCTTCCAACATTTAGAAAGGAAATTGCTTTCCTCAATCTGAGACTATCTCAGAGAGGGAGACTTTTGGGCTACAGATACCTGCAGTCTGGAACATTTGAGCTACTTTCTCAGACACACAATTTTTTTTCACAGTTTTGTTTAGGAGCAATATTTCTGACCCGTAATCTCTCCTCAGCCCATCTTAATTTGAAATTATATACAGATAACCCTCATTTAGAGATCACATATGGGACCTGTAACTCAGTCGTTAAGTATAATAGTCACTAAGTGAAACTTGAACTTACGTTTGCATTCTCCTGCTTTTCAGTACCACAAAGCAACTTAGAATCATAGACTCTGAGGGTTGGAAGGGACCTTGGAGGTCTTCTAGTCCAATCCCCTGCTCAAGCAGGAGACCCTATACCAGTGTTTCTCAACCTTGACCATTTTAAGGCATGTGGACTTCAACTCCCAGAATTCCACAGCCAGCAATGCTGGCTGTGGAATTCTGGGAGCTGAAGTCCACATGCCTTAAAATGGTCAAGGTTGAGAAACACTGCCCTATACCATCCTAGTTAAATGTCTTCCAATCTCTTCTTGAAAACTTCCAGTGATGGAGCATCCACAGCTTCTGGAGGCAAGCCGTCCCACTGGTTGATTGTTCCCATTGTCAGGAAATTGATCCTTAGTTCTAGACTGGATCTGTCTTTGATAAATTTCTACCCATTACTTTAGTGTCTGCAAAGAGTCACTAAACAAGGGCACTTTATAATGCTCTTTTATAGATCAGGATTTGTCGATATTTTAATACCAGTAAAAGATAAATTTGACCTTGGTATTCTAGTTTTCTTTGACCCCTTATTATCATATTATTTTTGTTGGTTGAAGAGGAGACACCCTTTGGGCCCCAGGGCTTGAGGAAGGCTGGATTGGACAGATCTCAGCTTTGATTTCAGCCAACATCTCTGGAAGTTCAAAGGTGTGATGTGTCAAGGTGGGAGCCCCCACCAAGGCAGGGTGGCCCGGATTGGCCCCACAGGAGGACAGATGGGGCTCACCAGTCACCTCTGCTCGTGGGACAATCCAAAGCAGGCTTCGTCAGACACGGATAAGCGCCGTCCAATCTTGGATAAGCTGACTCTGTTCCTCAGAGGAAAGTCCTCAGAGAAAGAAGACCCTTCCCGTCCCGGGATGCTGTCAGGCAAGTCTGGAGGACAAAGCATCTTTCCCAGAAGATGAGCTTCTGGAGGTCCAGCTGGGCTTATGCAACTTAGCGGCCTTTGAGGAGACGTCAGGACAGGCTTGTGGGCAGGAGCAGTCTTCTCCATTCGGGATCCTCCCTGTGAACCATCCACGTCACCATAGGAGTAGGTGTGCATTCTCTGCATGGGAGCCTGGGCCACGTGCCTCTCCTTGGCGAGAGCCACGGCCTCGTCGAACGACATGCTTCCACTGTAGCGCCAGTTGCTCCAGCGCTGCTTCTGGGGCGTGACCTCCAAACCCTCCTTGGTGGATCTCTGTGTTCCAGGGAGATATCCTTTCCCTTCGTCGTGTTGGCCGCTGTTCTGTTTCTCTAAACTTCCTGGTTGGAAGCCCTTCATGAGATGAAGGCTGCTGCCTCCAACCTCTCCACTCTTGGTCCACGAAAAACATTTGTCCCGTGAAGAAGGCGGTGGCTTTGGGGTGATGTCCTCCACGTTCTTACAGTCCTTGCTGAACTTCTCCAAGCTCACAGGCATGGAATTGCGTTGCTTTGGGAGGACGTTTGAATTGCTGCACCAATTCTCAGAAGAGCTGGATGGGCCGCTAGGAGATGTTGGAAAATGTTCCATCTTTTGGTCCAAGCTGGTCAGGTGGAAAGGCCTTTTCAAAGAGCTTTGGCTGAATTCCTGCTTGTTCCCATTCTCACTGGTCTTAACTAGGACAGGGTTGAGATGTTCCTTGCTGGGAATCATTGGCTTTAAGGAAGGAGGCAACTTGGCAAACTGGGGCTTTGGGGGCACCACTGGGAACGATTTCACTTGCTGAACTCGGGGAGTAATAGATGCCAACTTCATGTGGACGCTTCCATCCCAGAGTTCGTGCTTTGGAGCATAGGAAGCTTCCACTGGCAATCCAGCCTGAGGTTTCTGCAGAAGACTTTCTAGGCCAGGGTTTGGAGGAGAGGCTGTGAGGGAGAAGTCTTCAGAGTCCATGCAACTGTCAGACAAAGATACAGAAGAAGAATAAGAAGAGATATGCTCTGGATTTGGTGCTGGGAAGTTTATATTCTCAGAATTATTATCCAGTAAAGAAGGAATCAAACTCTGAAGAAAGTTGAGTTCCTCCACAGATGAAACAGCTTGGGCAGCATCTCCATGATGCATTTCTCCTGTCTCTTGAACCACAAGTGTGTCACCTAAGGGTTTGTTACATCTTCCAATCACCTCTGGAGGAACTTCTGCTCTCATGCTGCAAGGAAGATGTGAAGTGTGTTCAATTTTAGGTGTGTTCTGAGGTTGCCACTTCTCTTCAATACTTGATTTGATTGGTTGGTTTTCAGACTCTGGATCCCGAGGTATTTGGAAGATAACTTTTTCAGGAAGTCCAGTTTTTGGGACAAAGAGATCCACTCTATTTCCAACATTTCTATCTTCTATCTGCAACGATGAAATAATGGGTTCTACCTTATTATCCTCGCCATTTTTCCCCCCAGATTCTGAATCCAGAGTTTTTAGGTAAGCAACTTCTTCAGGACATCCAGTTTTATGGACAAAGAGACCAACCTCACTTCCAACATTTGCATCTTCGATTTGCAGCATTGAAAAAATGGGTTCTATCTCAGCTTTGTCAGTCAGGTGGCTTTCCACCTCATTGGTGTTGCTTCTGGAATCCAATTCCATTTCATGTGGCTTGGCTAATTTTGGATCCAGGCCCTTGGTTACTAAGTCACAAGTTGAGAAGACACCTTGCCGAGGTTCCAGGCCAGGTTCAGGTAAATGTGAGCTCTTTGGATCTTCAACCAAGGTTTCTGAAGCCGTCCTGAAGGTCTGATCTTCCACTGTGAGTTTTGGAGGGGGGATGTGAGGAGTTTGATGTCCATCAGATTGCTGAAGATGTTCTAGTTTGCTTGCTAAGGGGCTGAGGTCATCAAAAGCGCTCAGATAGATCTCCTCAACATCAACCTCCTTAGATGGCTCTTCCTCAATGAACCCCATGGCGAGATAGTATTGGTCATCTTCTCCTTCTGAATGCTCATTCATGCATTCTTCAATGGACAGGTAATCCAGGTGTGGCATTGTAGAATACATCTCCAGCTAAAGGGGGTGGAAGGAAGGAGACAGCCTTAGAAACAAGACTAATTTCTCAAAAATTAATAGAGAAAGCATGTATTGATAATCTTCACACAGTTAATTTGAGAAAGAAAAAAATTACAGAACATCAATTTTTAACTTACACTTTCTCTTCATAAAATCAATGAGAATAATATTAGGTGATTAGACAATCACCTAAATATGAGCCAGCCGTGTGCTGCAGCTGCCAAAAAGGCCAACACAGTGTTAGGCTGCTTTAACAGAGGGATAGAATCAAGATCACGTGAAGTGTTAATACCACTTTAGAAGGCCTTGGTAAGGCCACACTTGGAATACTGCATCCAGTTTTGGTCACCACAATGTAAAAAAGATGTTGAGACTCTAGAAAGAGTACAGAGAAGAGCAACAAAGATGATCAGGGGACTGGAGGCTAAAACATATAAGGAACGGTTGCCAGAATTGGGTATGTCTAGTTTAACGAAGAGAAGGACAAGGGGGGACATGATAGCAGTATTCCAATATCTCAGGGGCTGCCATAAAGAAGAGGGAATCAAGCTATTTTCCAAAGCCCTGAAGGCAGGACAAGAAACAACGGGTGGAAACTAATCAAGGAGAGAAGCAACCTAGAACTAAGGAGAAACTTCCTGACAGTGAGAACAATTAATCAGTGGAACAACCTGCCTCCAGAAGCAGTAAATGCTCCAACACTGGAAGTTTTTAAGAAGAGACTGGACAGCCATTTGCCCGAAATGGTATAGGGTTTCCTGCCTGAGCAGGGGGTTGGACTAGATGACCTCCAAGGTCCCTTCCAACTTTACTACTACTACTACTATATTATTGAGGATCATCGCACAGTCAGCCAGATGTTCAGACTGGATTTGGCATTTTGTCTACCTATCGAGTCCTTACCCAGGACCTGGGATAGGCAGATGTGGATGTTTGATGGTATTACAGGTATCGTCGCAGGATGGAAGCAGTTCCTAGTAAGGCCGCCTTTTGCAATTGACTAATAGCGAATCTGTCAATGCCAATGGTGTTCAAGTGGTGCTCCAGTTGTTTTGGGATTGCACCCAAGGAGCCTATTACTATTGGTACTACCCTTGCTTGCTTTTGCCACAGTCTTTCTATTTCTATTTGTAGGTCTTTGTATTTTGTTATCTTCTCCAGTTCTTTCTCTTCTATTCTGCTATCTCCAGGCACTGCCACGTCCACTATCCAGACTTTTTTGTCTTTCTTATCGACAATTGTTAAGTCTGGGGTGTTATGTTGCAGGTGCTTGTCTGTTTGAATTCTGAAGTCCCAGAGCAGTTTAATTTTATCATTTTCTATGACTTTCTCTATTTTATGATCCCACCAGTTTTTGCTTACAGGCAAATGATATTTTTTGCAGATCTTCCAATGGACCATTGTTGCTACTTTGTCATGCCGCTGCTTGTAATCAGTCTGTGCAATCTTCTTGCAACATTATTATTATTATTATTATTATTTGCCATTTCAGGCACTAGGTGAAAGCACTAGGCTAGAAACTGGGAGATGGTGAGTTCTAGTTCTGCCTTAGGCACAAAAGCCAGCTGGGTGACTTTGGACCAATCACTAGGAGAAAATTTCTAGTTCTGCCTTAGCCATGAAAGCCAACTGGGAGGCATTGGGTCAGTTGGTTTCTCTCAGCCCAAGCCAACTCACAGGGTGGTTGTGGGGAAAATAGGAGGAGGAAAGCTACAAGAAGGAAAGCTACCACAAGGATACAAAGTGAGAAGATGGTGTCCAAAGCGTACTCTCTCGTCTCCATGATGCTCCCCTTCCTGTTGCTCAGAAAGGCCTCTTTCCCCTCAGGCTGAAGAAAAGCGGTAAAGAAAGAGGGCCAAACCATGGCACTCACCTCTATCCCAGCTGCGATCATCTCGTGCATAAACCCACTTCCCAAATCATCTTCCATGCTTGGCAAGCTCTCCAAGCCACATGGCGGAACCTCCGGACGTTGCTTGGTCTCCGACTGCAGCTGATCCTCTGCCACCACAGTGTCGATCCAGGCGTCGGCACCGTCCAGGAATGAGAAAGAGTCCTCGACTTCCATAGACATCCGGCTCTCTTCATGGTCCATTTCAGCTTCGACGTTTGTTCCTAAAATGCATGCAGGCAAAAAAATTTAAAAAAAAAAATCAGCCTAGATTTCACAGTAGGGATTAGGTCCCTACCGTACAAATAAAGGCAATCCTCTACTTAAAAGCACAATCAGACCCCAAATTTCTGCTGTTTAAGTGAGCCGAGGTGGCGCAGCAGTTAGAGTGCAGTACTGCAGGCCACTTTAGCTGACTGTGTTCAGCAGGTCAGCGGTTCAAATCTCACCGGCTCAAGGTTGACTCAGCCTTCCATCCTTCCGGGGTAGGTAAAATGAGGACCCAGATTGTTGGGGGCAATGTAAATATATATATACGTTGCTTACTGGTGTACACCGCTTAGAGCAGTGGTTCTCAACCTGTGGGTTGGGACCCCATTTGGGGTCGAACAACCATTTCATGGGGGTCGCCAAACAATGCAGTCCGCCATTTTTTTCTTCCTTTTCCTTAGCTGTGCTACTCCCTTTTATTCTGTTGGCTTTTGAAAGCCAATAGAATAGACTCTCTTGAATGGAGTCTAATTCTATTGGCTTTCAAAAGCCAATAGGAATTGTCCAGGCTGTCTCTGCCCTGCTGAGCCCGCCAAAAGTCCCATTCTGCAAACGGTGCTGCACCAGTTGAGTAGTCCTCGACTTACAACCGGCTGAGTAGTCCTCAACTTACAACCGGTTGGGGGTCACAGCATTAAAAAGGTTGAGAACCACTGGCTTAGAGAGTGTTTGCACTTAAAGCGGTATATAAGTCTCATAAATAAATAAATAAGTGAGACATTTGTTAAGTGAGTTCTGTCTCATTTTATCAGCTTCCTTGCCACAGCTGTTAAGCGAATCCCTGCAGTTAATAAGTTAGTAACCCGGTTGTTAAGTGTATCTGGGTTCCCCATTCACTTTGTTTGTCAGAAGGTCATAAAAGGGGATGACGTGATTTTGGGACACAGCAACAGTCATAAGTATGAACCAGTGGCCAAGCCGTCTGAATTTTGATCACACGATCACGGGGATGCTACAAAGGCCATAAGCGTGAAAAATGTTCATAAGTCACTTTTTTCAGTGCCATTGTAACTTTGAATGGTCACTAAGTGGATTATTATAAGTCGAGGACTACCTGTATTACTTTGGCTTGAGTAACAAATTAAAATTAACATGTGCAAAGGAACGGTATAGGGGAGAAAATGAACCATAGCCAAGCATGATTTTAAAATATAAAGTCACCTGTTTCAAACTTGCACGGCTGGGGATAAACCCCAGGTAGGCCCTGATTTACAGCCATTTGTTTAGTGACCATTCAAAGTTACTATGAAAACAATGATTTACAACTGGTCCTCACACTTATGGCCATCACAGCAATCCCTGGGTTATGTGATCAAAATTCAGGTATTCAGCAATGGGCATATATTTACAACAGCTGCAGCGTCCTGGGGGGGGGAGAGTAATCACGTGATCGCCATTTCTTGATCTGCTTAACGACCATGAGATTCACCTAGCAATGGCAGCAATTCACTTAACATGCGAATGGCAAAAAAAAATTTTTATATAAAAACTGGGTATAACTTAAAAACTGCCTTGCTTAGCACCAAAAATTCTGGTTTGAATTGTGGGTGTAAGTAGAGAACTACCTGTAGTTATATAAACAGGGAAAATCAAACTCAAGGATTTTCTATTGACATAGTGGATAAAGTACTATTAGGCAGCTTTTTACTTTTACATAATAGTATAAACTAGCCACTTCTATAACAACAAACCTATCTAGTTGGTAAAACCCAAAAATCAAAGTTTCATTTTTTTCCACCTCAAGCACAAAGTCCAGAAATGGTTTCCAAGTAGAAAGAAAGAATTGTGTTTTTTTTCTTTGTTCAAATACGAACATTAACACTGACCTTCATCTACTTCCTCATTGGCAGTGAGGGTGGACATCAGTTTCTCCTTGTCTTCTGTCCCCCGAGGAAAGTCTTCTCCATTGGAAGAAAGGGCCTCCAGAGTCTCCACGGTGCAGTGGCTCAGTGCTGGACACTCCAGGCCTCTGGTCAGCCGGGACAAAGTGAGGTTGGAGGTGATGTGGAATGGGACGGTGACTGAGAAGGGTCCTGAGATATGGACCCCGGCACACTTCTCAGCCCGGTTCTTGGAACTCTTGGGCGAACGTCCTTGAGAGGTCCCTCCAACAAGACTGGACCTGCTGATTTTGGGGGTGGTGGGTTCCGACTTGGTGGCTTCCTCCTGTATGTCTTCAGATTTACTCTTGGCAGACACGTATCCGGATTCGGAGAAGCTGCTGTTTAGTGAAACTGGACCATCAAAGTACTTGTGTTTTGGAGATATCTCTGTCCCCAGGTGAGCATCATCTGCATGCAGAAGAAAGGGACCGATCAGAGAGAGCTGTGGAGCAACGCCCAGGTATCCAACCAGTAGAAATAGAAATAGAAATAACATCCTAATAAAATTATTATAAAACAAGCGGAGCCATCTCCCCCACATCTCCTGCCAGACCTGGGAGGGATCACCAGGGAAGAGAGAGCTGGAGGAAGCAGGCATTTCATCGTAATTTCTCCCATCCCATGGAGGTTACTAACAGTTTAGCTGTAGTTAGCATCAGATTTATAATCTATTGTTTTTATTTTTTATTTTTTGCAGATTTCTCGACCTACCATCACCAACCGATGGCACACAGCTGAGGGAGTCCATGCTTTTGGCTGGACGCAGCCGTATCTTACCCAGTTTGTCCTCTGGAACAGAAAAGGCAGGATTGAGCTGTGTTAGCAAGAATTCGTTCAATCTCAAATGTTTCTGAGAGGAAGGCAGATTTTTTTTCTTACAAAAGGCCAGTGACTCCCTGGGAAATTCAGGTAGCCCTCACCTTATGGCCAGTCAGTTAGAGAACATTCAAAGTTGCGATGGGACTGATTTAAACCAGCCAGACATAAGAATTGCCTGAAGATTTGAACTTTAGTAACCTGAAAACTGATTATAATGTGGGAAACACACCTCCTGAGTATGCAATTGGGCATTAACAACATCATGGGATGATATGAAATGTTACATGGTACACATCAAGCTAGTGAGCATGCTTGCTAGATTACAGATGTGTCAAATTATGCCAACCAATGAAAGAACTCATTCCAAACCCAATATGTTTGTTATTCTGTTGGAAGGGACCTTGAAGGTCATCTACAACTCCTGCTCAAGCAGGAAACTCTATACCATCCTGGACAAATTGTTATCCAATCTCTTTTTAAAAACCTCCAGTGTTGGAGCTTCTGGAGGCAGCTCACTGCTTCTGGAGGTGGGTTGTTCCACTGGTTAATTGTTCTCACTGTCAGGAAGTTTCTCCTTAGTTCTAGATTGCTTCTCTGCTTGATTAGTTTCCATCCGTTACTTTCTGTCTTGTCTTCAGGTGCTTTGGAGAATAGGTTGACCCCCTCCTCTTTGTGACAACCCCTCAAATATTGGAAGACTGCTATCCTGTCTTCCCTGGTCTTTCTTTTTACTAGACTAGCCATGCCCAGCTCCTGCAACCATTCTTTGTATGTTTTAGCCTCCAGTCCCCCAATCATCTTTGTCGCTCTTCTCCTCACTCTTTCCAGAGTCTCAACATCTTTTTTCTATCTTTTCGTTTTTGTCTATTTTTTGTAAATATAAAGGGTTTCCCAACCTTTCTAAGAGGACCTTCATCTTGTATCCATGGAGGATCTCTTTTTACTTATGCATAAATAAAGATTTACTGTTCCGGATCAGATCCTATTTTGGGCAAAGGCCCAGCTGGCTAAGAATCTTGCCCATGTTTATGGCTATCCTAGATCTTGGCTTGGGCAGTGAAGAGAAGAAGACTATGGGAAGCCAGAAAGACACACTTGGGAGGAGACTAGAATGGCAAGCCGAATCCCCTTCTCCTTCCTTGCTCCTCCCTTCTCCACGATTCCCCCATGAAGGCCACATAACAGGGATTTTTTTAGTATCAACAGGGACCGTGTAATATTGTTGTACTTGTTAACTAACATCATTATGTTGTAAAGTAAAAAAAGCCCCTGGTTTCATCAGACCTCATTGAAATGGACACCCATTTCAATGAGGTCTGGAGACGTTTCGACGAAGTCTCATTCGTCATCTTCAGGCTGGTGTTTTCAGCTTCGTGCTTCTAGGAGCAATGTGTGATCACTGGCAGTTAAAAGGAAGGAACAGCTACGATCACACATTGCTCCTAGAAGCACAAAGCCGAAAACACCAGCCTGAAGATGACGAATGAGACTTTGTCAAAACGTCGCCAAGACACTTCCAATTTGACGCGGGAGAAAACCTGAATAACCAAAGACCTACATATATATATATATATACACACACAAAGGAGGGGTTATTTTTGTCCTGTCCCATCAACTGTTCTCTTGTGATTTTCTTCGATGTCTTAACTATAAAGGGAATATAAAGTGGGTCTCGAGGTTTCCTCTTTGAATTAGGGGAATCCTTTTTAACCAGAACGTTTTGAATAAATCCAAATAAAATTATCTTCCTGTCTTGGTCAGTTGCATTGAAAAAAATATGCATGCCTCTGCACGAGCCTAGAAGCCATATTTTGACCCTCACTCTGGAGCAGTAGCAGGAGGCGAAATGTGCCTCTGTCAAAAGGGCAAACTCGATTTTGAGCCACAGTTTCTGTGATGGTGGCCTTTCCCAAGCCCCATACTTGCAAATGTGGGGGCAAACACACATTGGGGAAGGGAGAACTCTCTGTACATGTGCGTGGCACAAATTGCTATGCTCCACGCGTCGTTTTTGTGTGGATGAGGACAGATGTCTGTTACCTTTGTCTTCTGGCTTATTCAACTTGCGTTTGGAGTCGTGGTTGGATCGTCCTAGGTTGAAGATAGACTTCCATTTTTTGGCCTTGAGGGACCCTTTTCTTCTGCAAAGAGGTGGAATTCAGTGTCAACGCTGCAAATATTGTATATTCTTGCTTTCGACAATATGCAGACTTGTCTGGTAATTATGGGGTTAATACAGAGCAGAAGGGGAGTTGGGGGTAAAGCCCGGGAAAGAAAGAGGAAGGAAACCTTTGACCTTCACACTAATTGGAGAATGTGATATATGACGGCTAATTTAGGGAGGGAACATGTTGATAATTTAACTGCTCAGAGGAAGAGAACTTAGATCCTAGCATCCCTCTGTTGTGCCTGTGCCGACATTTTGTAACAATAAAAGACTTTTAGGAAAATAATGCCTGGAAGTTCTTTGGAATGTTTCATTAGCCGGAACCATAACATTTAGGTTACAAAGTATGCTGGGGGAAGCTGTGTATTTAGGGGACCCCCTCTCCCCAAGAGATGAAGCTGTTGAGGCTAGAACCAAAGAGTCCCACGTCAACATAGAACATAGAATCATAAAGATGGAAGGGTCCTTGGGATTCTTCTAAACCAGCGGTTCTCAACCTATGGGTCGTGACCCCATTTGGGGTCGATCGACCATTTTACGGGGGTCGCCAAACAATGCGATCCACCATTTCCCCCCTCAGGGGGTGGCGCCGCGCATGCGCGCCACGCATGGGGTCGCCGCCGCGCATGCGCAGCACATTCGTGTGACGGGGGTCGCCATCACACGAACGTTGAGAAACGCTGTTCTAATCCAAGCCCCTGCCCATGGCAGGAGATTCTATACCATTCCAGGCTTTCTTTGGGCTTGATGAGTTGAATACACACAACCAGAAAGCGAATAGCAATAACTGAACAGTATATTAAGAGTTGGAAGGAACCCTGAAAGTCCTCCAGTCCAACACACCCCCATCCAAGCAGGAGACCACATCGACAATGAGGTGGTGACCCCCAAGGCCCTCAAAGAATGCTAAAGTATCTCTTGGATTGGAGAGAAGAACTTAGATTTTAAGTCTTGGAGCTTCAGCTTGGAATGGAATGGAATAGCCTTATTGGCCAGATGTGATTAAATCAAGACGAAGGGACTTGATTTATGTGTCCTACAGTAGAAAAAAATTATCTGTGTACACAAATATCCTTTTTGTATACAATAAAGAGGCAGATGTGGCTGAGTTGACTCGGAAAGTCTTCTGCTGAGCAAGATAAATCCTGAATAAGGGTTTAAGTATCTGGAGATTTACAACTTAGCTGGTACACCTTTGTATTTCTGGTTAGGCTATGAATGCTTGGGCCACCCAACAGATTTTGACAGCCCTTAAAAACACGGACGACAGATTACATGCCAGATCAAAATTTGGAAAAGCAGAATGTCAAGATGGTACATAGGCGGCAAATAAATTTAACAAATAAATAAATAAATAAATAAATAAATTACTCTCTGACTATTTGCCTCTGATGCAAAACAAGCCTTGAGAAATACTGGATTAGAAACCGCCAAGGTTGGAACTGAAATCTCTTAAGAAGCTGCTGGGGAAGATTAGATGCCTTAGTGCAGGGCTTTTCAACCTTTTCACCCATTGTACCACTTTTAGGATATGGCGACATCTGAGTACCACCAGTCGCCTAGCAAGGTGTCAAAAACTCGATGACCAAAAAAAAAAAAGGAAAAAAAGTGATAAAGTACAGGTAGTCCTCAACTTACAACAGTTTGCTTAGTGACTGTTCAAAGTTACAATGGCACTGAAAAAAGTGCCCCCCAAGCCACAGCCGAGCAAGACACCTGCCTGCCTGGCGGCGCTCTTCCTCCTGTCCGAGGTTTTCATTGTTGTGAGCATTTCTGTTGAGGATTGGCAGCGGGAGTGAGATGGGGGGGGTGTTTGGTTTTTATTCCCCCCGTCTGCTGGGTGGTTGCAGCAGGTTTTTGGTCACTTCACATGACCCTGGGATACTGTGACCATCATAAATATGAATCAGTTGCCAAGCATCTGAATGTAAATCACAAGACCCTGGAGATGCTGCAACATTCCAGCTGATTGGCGCTTCTTCTAGGCTCAGCAGAAGCCCCAGGATCAGCGCTGAGCTCCAGCTGGAGCCTGGCGCTGATCCTGGTGCTTCCACTGAGCCCTGACAGCCCCGAAGAAGCGCTGATCCTGGTGCTTCCACTGAGCCCTGACAGCCCTGCAGCTCCAGCCGTCTCTCACTCAGGCTTGTGCGGTGCTGCCACCGGTTCAGCTCATTCCTCTCCCCCGCTACCACTTTTCTAGGATGGTCGCATACCACCTGCCAGGTGCCAATGCACCACAGGTGGTACCCGTACCACTGGTTGAAAAGCCCTGCCTTAGTGGGCAGCAGGAAAGTAGGGGGTGTGGTGTCAACTGTTAGCTGGCTGAGGGCAAGGAAAGAAGTGGTGAATCAAAGAGCTGTTAAGTGCAGCCACGGGAGAAGCTCTGGCAGAGAAACACCAAAGGATCCCACTATACTGGAGTCGACTGGGTGGCCTTTTGCTAGAAATTTATTTATTTATTTATTTATGAGACTTATATACCGCTTTTAAGTGCAAGCACTCTCTAAGCGGTGTACACCAGTAAGCAATGTGTATATATATATATATATATATATATATATACATTGCCCCATCTGGGTCCTCATTTTACCTACCCCGAAAGGATGGAAGGCTGAGTCAACCTTGAGCCGGTGAGATTTGAACCGCTGACCTGCTGAACACAGTCAGCTAAAGTGGCCTGCAGTACTGCACTCTAACTGCTGCGCCACCTCGGCTCATTACAATGAGCCAGGAGCCTGGTGCTGATCAAGGCTGGAGCAATTAACAGTTAAATGGACAATGGAATGGGCTGATGGGCTGATGGTCAATCACATGCCACTACAAAAGGTAGAAGCTCATCCTACACATGGTGGGTGAACGTGGTGAAGGCTGATCCTCCTAGAAGAGGGAATGGATCAATGCCTGTGGGATCCATCCCTTGTGAGCAAGACAAGAACAGAGTGGTCTTCCAAGTCTCCTCTCGATGTTCAGGACCATCATTCAGAAGATCTGGAGAAGCTGCTCTCCTCTTGGAGGGAAGAGGAGAAGGCAGAAGAGATGTCCACTTACTTGCTTTCGCTGAGTTCAATGATGGTGTGGTAAGGTCTCATCTGGGGGGGCCCATCCCCTCGATTCAGCAATGCGGGCACATTGTAGGGAGTACAGTACTCAGGGAGGACCACCGGGGACATAGCAAGCAGGGACTTCCTGATGGATTCACGGGTGCCACCTAGGAACGATGATACATTTAGACAGAAAACAGAATAACAGAGTTGTAAGAGACCTTGGAAGACTTCTAACCCAAACCCAGTTTAAGCTGGAGACCCCAGATCAGTCTGCCCAAATGGTTATCCAATCTCCTCTTGAAAACCTCCAGTGATGGAGCACCCACCACTTCTGGAGGGAAGCCGTTCCACTGATGAATTGCTCCAAAAGTCACAAAATTTCTCCTTAGTTCTAGGTTGCTTCTCTCCTTGATTAGTTCCCACCCGTTGCTTCTTGTCCTGCCCTCAGGTGCTTTGGAAAATAGCTTGACCCCCTCTTCTCTTTGGCAGCCCCTCAAATATGGAAAGACTCCTCTCATGTTCCCCCCAACCCTTCTCTTTATTGGACCAGACACACCTAGCTCCCTCAACTGTTCACCCTACGATTTAGCCTCCAGACCTTTTTATCTTTTTTGTTGCTCTTCTCTGCATACTTTCTAGAATCTCAACATTGTTGTGGGGGGGGGTTTGTGGTGACCAAAACTGGATGCCATCAATATTCCAAGTGTGGCCTTACCAAGGCTTTATAAAGTAGTACTAACACTTCGCTGATCTTGAGACTATCCCTCTGTTGATGCAGCCTAGGATTGTTTGGGCTTTTCTGTTTGCTGCAACAAACTTTTTCTTTTCTTTTTTTTAATTTTTCCTGCTATTGCAAAAAACGAGGAAATGAGTTGAAGGACTTACCACATAGAGGAGCATCTCCAAATATCTGTTCCACATGGGTCAAGATGAACTCCACCACAATGGACTGGATACGGACCTCCATGAAGGCTGCGGTGCCATTGAAACCACAGACTTCAATGTCCTTGGACCTGCGGAGGATGAGAGAGGAACTGGAAGCCTCAGGAGAGGTAGGCCTACTCATAGTAACAGAGCAAACTCTTCTTTTGTTCTGATTAATTTCACCTTCACAGGGTTTAGCTACAGGGAGTCCTTGACCATGAGATTTATGACCTTCAAAGTTACAACGGTGCTGAAAAAGTGACTTACAACTGCTTCCTGCAGCTATGACTGCTGCATAAAGTTCAATGGTCATACAGTTGGACACTATTCACTCAATGACCATGTCACTTAGCAACGGCTGTTCCAGTTCCAATTGTGGTCATAAGCCAAGGACTACCTGAAGACCATATTTTCTGGTAAAATCAGATTATCGGAGAATGATGAGAGAGAGTTTTCCTCTTCCCTTATTCAGTGATAAATTGGAAAAGATTTTTTTAAATCTACTTCAAAACCACCAAAATCCAAAATTTTGGTTCCAATTGGGATGGTCGCCGATGAAAATTGGACTCAAATAAATAAGCAGAGCAGGAAAACATGTGTGACTGCAGTGCTATGTCACACCCAAGAACCAAAAGGTAGAGTTCCTTCCGAGTTGTTTCTTCATTGTTGTTCGCCTACAGACAGAATCTTGCCAGAGTAAACAAACTACAGGTAGCTACCACCACAATTCAGACCAGAATATCCATTGCTGAACAAGGGGGTTGATTAAGTGACACTTAGCTGCGCGGTGTCCTTCCTTCCCATATTTGAAGCAGCCTGATGGTCTCGGGGTGGTAGGGGTTTGCTTTGGTGGCACAAAGGGAGCAGCTCAGATTAAAGGGGGGCGTGGCAGCGGTCAGCGATGGGGATTGGAAGGCATACCAGAAGAATATCGGTAAGAATATCGGGATCTAGCTGAAGTATTCAGCGAAGAGAGATCTGATGAATTACCTCCCCACCAGCCCACAGACTGTGCTATTGAAATCTTGCCGGGGGTGAAACTACCCAAATCAAAACTGTGTTCCATGACCTCTCGGGAGTTGGAGGAATTACAAAAAATCATAGAAAAGAATTTGGCGAGAAGGTTTATCCAACCTGCGAAACCAAAAACTGCAGCCCCTGTGCTATTTCGTGAAAAGAAAGATGGGTCCATAAACATCATGATAGAGCTCCAAAACTTATTAGTAAATTCCATGCCAATTATCCTGACAAACCAGACTAACCCATATATCTATCTCCCCTTTTGTTTCCTCTACAGGGGATCTCTCTTTCTTTTAAGGGGGGGTGGCATGTCAGAACCCACATATTTGGGAGGAGGGCTTTCTCCTCTGTTAAATCCTTTCTTCTTCTTTCCTGTGGGTTCTGTCATTTTCCTGGGGGGAGGGGGAACCTGTTGCGGAATTGCAATGTATTCTTTTCCTTTCATTTAGCACTACAATGTATCTTCTCCACTTCCTCTATCTGCTTGCTCTTTGAACTGTTTCCCCTTGATGCCAGCCTGGGGCTTATCTCTCGCTGTGGAAGGGAAGGTGTGAAGACCCAACAACATTTTCACAGCCTTGGGAACGCCGTCTTATCATCTGGCTCGTTTGAACTGACTGGATGAACCGTTGGGGTGGGGTTTGCTTCTTTCTCTTTTAACCTATTGATTCATATGGGAACCCCTCAGATCCTGCTTTCTATGTCTGCTGTCAACTTCTCCTAATAAAAGATCCTTTTGGGATGAAACCGTTCCAAGAGTCCTGCTTTCTAGGGAAGAGGTTTTGAAGTGGGTCCTTTATAGGTAGTCCTCAACTTACAGCCACAACTGAACCCAAAATTTCTGTTGCTAAGTGATTCAGTGGTTAAGTCAATTTTGCCTCATTTTATGTCTGTTCTTGCCATAGTTGTTAGTGAAGTTAGTAACTCGGTTGTTACTAACTGGCTTCCCTATTGGCTTTGCTTGTCAGGTCGCAAAAGGGGATCACAGGACCTCTGGGGACATGGCAACCATCATAGTACATTCCAGTTTTCGAGTCTCCGAATTTTGATCACGTGACCCTGGGGATGCTGCAAAGGTTTTTAAGTGTGAAAAATAGTCATAACTCTCTTTTTTCAGTGCTGTTGTAACTTTGAACAGTCTCTAAACCAGTGTTTCTCAACCTTGACAATTTTAAGGCATGTGGACTTCAACTTCCAGAATTCCACAGCCAGCAATGCTGGCTGTGGAATTCTGGGAGTTGAAGTCCACATACCTTAAAATTGTCAAGGTTGAGAAACACTGCTCTAAACGAACTGCTGTAAGTTGAGAACTACCTGTATAGATATACTCTGTGAACTGAGAGTTTCCACACCAGAGACAAATTTCTTGTGTGTCTAATCACACATGGCCAAATAAAGTATTCTAATTTTAATTCTACTTCTAATAATCCTAATTCTAATAATCCTAATTCTAATAGTTTTAATTCTGATCCCGATTCAGATTCTGATTGCTACGGAGGGTCCGCTTTTGCTTTCTTCCTGCCTACAGACCCTCCAAGCTCTGCCTCCACTTTGGCCTCCATGAAGCAGCCCCCCCCTTCTGGGACTCCAGTCTACATTCCAGCACAGCTACCGGCTCCAGGACCTCCAGAACCAGGCTGGGCCTCCATGTGCTGGTTCTCCTTCCTATCCTAAGCAGCAGTTTTGACTTGGAAAACCACCACCACTATATTGGCTCCCACCCCGTTTGAATCCCACCCTCTTAAGAACGTGGGATGTAGCTCTCTTGAGAATGCGGCTTCTCTTCCCCTCACAGTGATTTGCCTGTGGCTCGGCCCCACCCCAAAGGACCCTACTTGGGTCTGGCTTGGAAGCCCTGCCCCATGGCACATTCTCTCACCTGAGCAGGTTGGGGGCCCAGACGATAGCCAGGTTCCGCACATGCATGTTGGTCTGGGAACTGAAAGACGCCATGCGAACAAGGTGCTTCATCAGGAATTCAAGGGTTCTGGCAGCAGGTTGGATTTGGAAGCAGAGAAAGAGAGAGGGGAGGAAATAAAAGGAGGAGATAGGAGGATCAGCTGCTTCTCATGTCTTGAATTGTCATTTACACTCACTTTCTTTCAGAGAGAAAGTATCTTTCTGTTAAGTTCCTTAAAATTACAGAACCTATGTCTCTTTCTCCTCCTTCTCTCTTTCTACTCCTCCCCTTCCCCTCCCCTTCCTCCTCTCCTCCCCTTCTCCTCCTCTTCCTCCTCCTCTTCCCTTCCTCCTTCTCCCCCTCCCTTACTCCTCCTCTTCCTCCTCCCCCCCTTCCCCTCCTCTCCCCTTTCCCTTTCTCTTCTCCTCCTCCCCTTCTCTCTTCCTCCTCCTCTTACCCTCCTCCTCCCATTTGTCTTCTCCTGCTCCTTCTCTCCTCCTCTTACCTTCCTCCTCCCCTCCTCTTCCTCCTATTCCTCTTCCTCTCCTCCCATTTGTCTTCTCCTGCTCCTTCTCTCCTCCTCTTCTCCTCCCCTTCCCCTCCTCTCCCATTCTCCTTCCCCTTCTCCTCTTCCTCCTCCTCTTACCCTCCTCCTCCCATTCGTCTTCTCCTGCTCCTTTTCTCCTCCTCTTCCTCCTTCTCTTACCCTCTTCCTCCCCTCCTTCTCTTATCCCCTTCTCTTCCTCTTCCTTCTCCTCTTCCCCTCCCTCTCCCCTCCTCCTCCTCTCCTCGCCTTCTCTTCCTCCTCCTCTTCCTCCTCCTCTTCCCCTCCTCCTCCCCCCCTTTGCCTGCTCCTTCTCCTTCTCTCCTCCCCTTCTCTTCCTCCTCCTGTTCCCCTCCTCCTCCCCTCCTCCTCTTTTCCTCCCCTTCTCATCCTGTTCCTCCTCCTCTTAACCTCCTCCTCTCCTTTGCCTGCTCCTGCTCCTTCTCCCCTTCTCCTCTTCCTCTTCCTTTTCCTCTTCCTCCCCTCCTCCCCTTCTCCTCTTCTTCCTCCTCCTCTTACCCTTCTTCCCCTTCCCCTTCTCCTGCTCTTTCTCCCCTTCTCCTTCTCCTTCTCTTCTTACCCTCCTCCTCCCTTCTCCTCTCCTCCCCTCCCCTTCCTCCTATCTTACCCTCCTCCCCTCCCCTCCCCCTCGTCCTCCCATTCTTCTCCTCTTCCTCCTACTCTTACTGTCCTCTCCCCTTCCCCTTCCCTTTCTCCTCTTTCTCCTCCTTCTCCTCCTCTTACCCTCCTCCTCCCCTTCTCCTCCTCCCCTTTCCTCCTCCCCCTCCCCTCCCCTCCTCCTCCTCTTATACTCCTCCTCCCCCTTGTCCTTCTCCTTCTTCTCCTCCCCTTCCCCCCTTCCTCCTCCTGGGAAGACTGAGCCAGAGACCAACAGGGCCCCTGCAGGTACCGATAGTGTGGTGATGGCAGCTCCTTCAGCACCTCCTTGATTTTCTCCAGCCGGCTTTCTTCCAGTTGGATGGCCACAGCTTCCTGGAGGGAGGAGGATGTTGATGGTCAGTTGTCCATTCTGTTTGCTAAGCCTCCTCATTTTTCTCTCACTCCAGCGGAGAAAAGAACCAAGTATTGACTCTCTGAGCTGAACCCTGGATGATCGGGTGCAGGAATCAGGCGTTCAGAATGGGCCCAGCCAGTCGTGGACGTTTGGTGGAAGATTAAAGGAGCAAAAATGGATTCCCACCTCCAATTAGGGGAAACGTGGCAGGCCCCAAACCTAGAATAGCACACGGTGATTCTTCCAAGCTGAGTCCTTATTGTTTCACGTCTACAGACAAAATCTTGCCAGACTGAAGAAACTCCTATTGCGTTTACAGTATACTCTGGGAACTATTAGGGAGGAGCTGCCTTCACCCTCTTTCTTTCACACATAATATCCAGATTGAGCTGCCTCTTATTCTACAGCAGGGGTTCTCAACCTTGGCGACTTTAAGACTTGTGGACTTCAAGTCCCAGAATTCCTCAGCCAGCAAAGCTGGCTGAGGAATTCTGGGAGTTGAAGTCCACAAGTCTTAAAGTTGCCAAGATTGAGAATCCCTGTTCTACAGGAATGCCCTCTTTCCTTTTGTGGTCCACTTTCTCATGACATTCCATCACATCATGTGTGGACGTCACCTCCCAGAATCCCTCAGTCATCATGTTCAGGCTTCAACCTAGAATAGCACACGGTGATTCTTCCAAGGCGAGTCCTTATTGCTTCACATCTACAGACAAAATTTATTTATTTATTTATTTATTTATTTATGAGACTTATATACCGCTTTAAGTGCAAGCACTCTCTAAGCGGTGTACACCAGTAAGCAATGTATATATATATATATATTTACATTGCCCCCAACAATCTGGGTCCTCATTTTACCTACCCCGGAAGGATGGAAGGCTGAGTAAACCTTGAGCCGGTGAGATTTGAACCGCTGACCTGCTGAACACAGTCAGCTAAAGTGGCCTGCAGTACTGCACTCTAACTGCTGCGCCACCTCAGCTCTTCTTTCTCTGGAATGCAGCCCCTACGTCATGGGACTCCATCTCCTTAGTACAGTGGTTCTCAACCTTTTTAATGCCGCGACCCCCAACTGGTCGTAAGTCGAGGACTACTCAACCGATCATAAGTCGAGGACTACTCAACTGGTGCAGCACCGTTTGCAGAATGGGACTTTTGGTTGGCTCAGCAGGGCAGAGACAGCCTGGACAATTCTTATTGGCTTTTGAAAGCCAATAGAATTAGACTCGCCATCACTGCCCTAGGCCTTCTTTTCACTTTTCACTTCATTGCAAATGAAGGATGTTTATTAAGCGGTGATAGAAAAGGTTGGATGTCCTTAGATCAGTGGTTCTCAACCTTTTTAATGCCGCGACCCCCAACCGGTCGTAAGTCGAGGACTACTCAACTGGTGCAGCACCGTTTGCAGAATGGGACTTTTGGCGGGCTCAGCAGGGCAGAGACAGCCGGGACAATTCCTATTGGCTTTTGAAAGCCAATAGAATTAGACTCTATTCAAGAGAGTCTATTCTATTGGCTTTCAAAAGCCAATAGAATAAAAGGGAATAGCACAGCTAAGGAAAAGGGGGAAAAAATGGCGGACTGTGTTGTTTGGCGACCCCCGTGAAATGGTCATTCGACCCCAAATGGGGTCCCGACCCATAGGTTGAGAACCACTGCCTTAGTACATTCATCACAATAAATGAACAATTGTAAATCAAGGATATTACCTGTACTGTCAGCATCTAGAATAAATTATACGAACTATTAGGAAGAAGCTGTCTTCACCCTCTTTCCCTCACACATAATATCCAGGCTGAGCTACTCTTACACCTCTGGAATGCTCTCCCTGGGAATCCAGCTCCTCACTACCGTCCATCATAAAACTCTTCCTGTCTACTCATCCCCCATTTTGTATGAGCCAGAAGAATTCTCAGTGGTCATAATGCTGAACTTGGACTTTGAATAGAGTAGAATAGAATAACAACTTTATTGCTACTTTGAATGTACACTAATTGGCATACATCGAAATGAAATTTCATTGCATTCAGCTCTCAAAGGGTCACCACCTCCGATATACACTACATAAATATGACAAAAATAAATGAATAAATACAGAATTATGCATATATCCACACACATTATGTGACACAGAGAAACAACAGTCTAATTCGGGTTATGTGTACATGTGCATGGTGAGAAAAACAAATCTTGTGAATTTGCCAGACAGATGGCATAAGGAACAAAGCTGTTATAGAATCTGGTAGTTCTGTTATAAATACTTTGAAACCTCCTCCCAGAGGGGAGCAACAGAAACAGACTGTGAAGTGGGCATGTGGGGTCTTTTACAATGCTCCGAGCTCTAAGCACATATGTACTTATAAGCCGCATCCTGAATGCCAGGAAGCGAAATTCCTATGATCTTATGATGCAATCTCTGTATGGACTTTCTATCTGAGACACTGCTATCACAAATAGTGAAGACCCAACTCAGAAGCTAATTCAGCCAAGGAAGCTCCTAAGATGACTTTAAGGTTGTTATTCTCCTTGTTAGCCCAACGTCCTTCACCAGATGGGTTTTCTGTGAAGAATAGAATGGAATAGAATAGAATAGAATAGAATAGAATAGAATAGAATAGAATAGAATAGAATAGAATAGAATAGAATAGAATAGAATCTGGAAGGGACTTTGGAAGTCTTCGAGTCTAGCTCTCTGCTCAAGCAGGAGAACTATATCACCTCAGACAAGAGACTGTCTAGCCCAGTGGTTCTCAACTTTTTAATGCCGCGACCCCCCCCAACCGGTCGTGAGTCGAGGACTACTCAACTGGTGCAACTGGTGCAGCACCGTTTGCAGAATGGGACTTTTGGTGGGCTCAGCAGGGCAGAGACAACCTGGACAATTCCTATTGGCTTTTGAAAGCCAATAGAACTAGACTCTATTCAAGAGAGTCTATTCTATTGGCTTTCAAAAGCCAATAGAATAAAAGGGAGGAGCACAGCTAAGGAAAAGGGGGAAAAAATGGCGGACTGCGTTGTTTGGCGACCCCCGTGAAATGGTCATTTGACCCCAAATGGGGTCCCGACCCACAGGTGGAGAACCACTGGTCTAGCCTCTTCTTAAAAATCTCCATTGATGGAGTGCCCATGATTTCTGAAATCCAGACTGGATATAAATAACCAATCAATGAAGCGACACAAAGGGTAGCCTGCAAGTCATACTTACTGCAAACTTATCATACAGCTGGTAGGTGAGGAGAGGGTTCGGCAGCTCCCGGAAGTAAGCTTTGCAAAGGGAACTCACACAATGAATGTCCTGAAGATACACCTCTTTGTTGAGATCAGAATTCCGGTCATTGTTGAACTCAAGTCTGAGAGAGGGGGAAAAAGAAAGGAAGAAGGTGATGGGACATAGCAAAGATTGGGATCAGATGATGATAATGATGATGATGATGGTAATAATATAATAATGATAATGATAATAATAATAATGACAATACAGCAGTTTGTTTAGTGACTGTTCGAAGTTACAATGGCACTAAATAAAGTGACTCATGACCACTTTTCGCACTTGTGACCATTGCAGCATCCCCATGATTTACATTTGGATGCTTGACCACTGACTCACATTTATGACGGTTGCAATGTCCCGGGTCATGTAATCCCCTTTTGCAACTTTCTGATAAGCAAAAACAATGTGGGAAGCCACATTCACTTAACAACTATGTTACTAATTTAACAACTGCAGTGATTCACTTAACAAACGTGGCAAGAAAAGTCATAAAATGGGGCAAACTCACTTAACAAATTTCTCACTTAGTAAATTTTGGGCTCAATTGTGCTCACAGGTTGAGGACTACCTGTAGTCCCATCCCTGAAGTGGAGAACTTAAATGGTGGGGGAGGGGAAATATATGAGAAGAGGCCCCACTCCTTATCCGAGACCCCCATCTGTGAGGTGGTTTTGGTCCTTCTCAAACCCAGAGAAGATCCATCCTTTCCCATAGAAACCAGAATCGGAAGGCACTTAGAGGCCATCTAATGTTTAGACTACACCAGCGTGCCTGGCTGAGGAATTCTGGGAGTTGAATTCCACGAGTCATAAAAGGGCCAAGTTGGAAGACCCCTGGACTACACCAATCCTTAGCCTAATGAAGAAAAGGCTTTTGGGGGAGATCTGAAAGAAGTCTTCCAATACTTGAAGGAGAAGAGGGGTCGGCCTGTTCTACAAAGCAACAGACAAGAAATAATGAATGGAAGCTGCTCAGGTGATCCAAACTCTGAAATATAAGGAGGAATCTCCTGGCGGTGAGAACAATTTATCAGTGGAACAACTTTCCTCCAGACGTTTTGGGTGCTCCATCCCTGGAGGTTTTTAAGAGAAGATTGGACAACCATTTGTCTGGAATGGTGTAAGGTCTTCTGCCTTGGGTGGTAGTGCGGCTTGAACTGGAAGACTTCCACAGTCCATTCCAGTCTTATGATTCTATGGGTAGGCGTGTCAAGCAGGTAGTCTTTCCACCTTTCTGGGAGGTTTGCCCAGGTGTCTTAGAACAGCGGTTCTCAACCTGTGGGTCGGGACCCCATTTGGGGTCGAACGACCATTTCACGGGGGTCGCCAAACAACGCAGTCCGCCATTTTTTCCCCCCTTTCCTTAGCTGTGCTACTCCCTTTTATTCTATTGGCTTTTGAAAGCCAATAGAATAGACTCTCTTGAATAGAGTCTAGTTCTATTGGCTTTCAAAAGCCAATAGGAATTGTCCAGGCTGTCTCTGCCCTGCTGAGCCCGCCAAAAGTCCCAGTCTGCAAACGGTGCTGCAAGTTGTCTGCAGCGAAGGCGAGCTGTCTGGAAGCTTCCACCCCTCCCTGCTGAGCAACTACTAAAAATGTAAGGAAAAGAGGGCCAGGGGTGGGAGGTGGGAGGCCGGCGGGCGCAGGGAGGGTTGCGGGCGTGCATGGGGCCCGGCGGGTGCCTTACCTCCCTTGGGCTGGCCCAGCTGGTGGCCCAGCTGGTGGTCGCCCTGCACCGTCTCTGCCGCTTGCCAGCTACGGCTCGGCTGGCACAGGGGGCGGCACCACGCATGCGTAGCGCTCCCGGGCAGGGTAAGTCCTTGACTTACGACCGGTTGGGTAGTCCTCATCTTACGACCGGTTGGGGGTCGCGGCATTAAAAAGGTTGAGAACCACTGTCTTAGAATAATCATGGAGGCAAGTTATTTTCACTCTCAGGAAATTCCTTGTTATTTCCAAGTTGGATCTCTCTTTGATAAACTTTCACTCATAGGTTGACCCCCCCCCTCTTCTTTGTGGCAGCCCCTCAAATATTGGAAGACTGCTACGATTGTCACCCCAACCGTTCTCTTTATTAGACTAGACCAGGGGTGGAGAACCTTGGCTCTTTTTTTTAAAGACAAGTTTTATTGTTTTTTTTTTATTTTTAAAACAAAGTACTCAAGACACACCGTGGTGTTAGGGTGGTCAAACCTACGCAAATGAAACATATATACATAATTCAATCAATACATCCAATATTCTCTCTCTTTTCCCCTTAAGTAACGTATTTTATTTAAAACAATCCAATTCTAGCTTAAATTTATTCAACCTAAACCTCTTTTTAAAGCTTTATAAATTTACACTAGCATAATCAAAATAACTTTAAGTACAAACATTATCAGTTCGGGTATTCCTCTTCAACTCCCAGAATTCCTGAGCCAGCCATGAAGTCCACAAGTCCTAAAAGAGACGAGGTTCCCCACCCCTGAACTAGACATACCCAGTTCCTGCAACCGTTCTTCATACGTTTTAGCCTTCAATACCCTAATCATCTTGGTTGCTTTTCTCGGCACTCTTTTTTAGAGTCTCAGCACCTTTTCTGTATCATGGTGACCAGGTCACGACGACGTCCTGCCTCTCAGTTTTGAGGTGCTGTTTGGTACTCAAATCAAAATGGATATTCCCACCTTTACCTTAATTTTTGGATGTTTGAAGAGACTCCTGACAGCCGGTAGATGCCATCCACGATCCCATGCTGTTCCACAAACTCCGTGCAGCTCTTCAGGACCTGTGGAACTGGAGAACCACCAATATTTAGTTTGGAAATGGTAAATCAATCCACGAGTCTCCCAGATCAGCTAGGAGAGGGTTTTCAATCATCTAAAAAAAAAAAAAACAAACCCTGGCCTATTTCTTCCTAAAGTTTCTCCATTAGGACTCCCTCAAAGTCTGGAAAACCAGGAAGGGTAGCAATCTTTGGAAAACTGATGGAATAATCAAAGGCAATCCCGTCCCACCCCATCCTTGGTCAACTCAACTGCTCCCTCGTTGGCTGCTAAAATCTCATGGGAGGGATCTCTCCTGATCCCAAAGGCAACTGGACTTTCTTTTTCTTTTTTAACAAAATTTTATTAAGTTTATATCAACGGGGAAAAATAGGAACAATGCAGGAATAGTAAAGGAAGGGGTGGAAGGAAAGGGGAAGGGAATAAGGAATTAGGGTAAAATAAGGATAGATACAGTCACATATTTCAACAAACAAGCTACCATCCGGATCATAACAATGAGTAAATATCATATTCAACCATTTTCACCAAAGCTTAGACTATAATATATTAAAAACAATTAGTAAACAAATACATTGATCTATTAAGTAAAGACTAATAATAAAACCTCAAAAAATCCTAACAATCAAAAGTAACAAATGAAAATCAGGAAATCAGGAAAATTAATCATATCATCAAAATGTTAGTTAGAGCTCGATTAAAAATCAGTCATCTATTCTAAAATATTAAATCCTTCAAGTTCTAACGTGTCTCTAACCATTGATAAAAAATTTCCCAAGTTCTAAAATAAATTTAATCCTCTTTTTCTTTCATTTCTAATGCTAGTCTATCCATTTCTGCACACTCTATATTTTTAGTAATTATAATCTGGTCAGATGGTAAATTCTCATTTTTCCAAAATTGGGCAAATACTATCCTTGCAGCAGTTAAAACATGCAATATCAAGTAGTCGTTCTCTTTATTGTAATCAGGTCTTAATATTCCTAACAAAAACAGTTCTGGTTTAAATTCTATCTGTAGTTTCATCATCTTTTCCAACCATCTATGGATCTTAGACCAATATTTCTTAGCATTAGGGCATATCCACCAGGCATGGTAATTTGTTTACATTTCCAGCAGATATCCGAAACATTTTTAAACATTTTTGCTAAGCGAACTGGTGTCATATGCCATCTATAAAACATCTTATGTAAGTTTTCTTTATATGCTACCGCTTTTGTAAGCTTAATATTTTTATCCCAAAGTTTTTGCCGGTCTTCCAAATCTATGGAATGTCCAAAGTTCTTCGCCCATACTATCATTGTTTCTTTCACTTGTTCTTCTTCCATCTTCCAGGCAACTGGATTTTCTTGATTTTTCCCTTTGAAAACATTTCGCTTCGAATCCAAGAAGCTTCTTCCGTTCATGCATTTCATGAAGCTGCTCCAGTTTATTTATTTATTTATTTATGAGACTTATATACCGCTTTAAGTACAAGCACTCTCTAAGCAGTGTACACCAGTAAGCAATGTATGTATATATTTACATTGCCCCCAACAATCGGGGTCCTCATTTTACCTACCCCGGAAGGATGGAAGGCTGAGTCAACCTTGAGCCGGTGAGATTTGAACCGCTGACCTGCTGAACACAGTCAGCTAAAGTGGCCTGCAGTACTGCACTCTAAGTGCTGCGCCACCTCAGCTCTTTTTAAGTTCAATTTAAGCTTCATGAACTGAAGAAGCTTCTTGGATGAGAAGCAAAATGTTTTCATAGGAAGAAACCAAGAAAGTCCAGTTACCTTTTGGGGAAAAAAAAACCACCTCTGGGACCACCATGAGAATCTTCATAGACATACAGTCTCCCCTGATCTTTGTCCTTAGAATTGAATGGAAATCGGAGACCGTGGACCACTAAAGAGAGTATTTTGCATAGAAAAACACACCTGGTCATTACCTAAATGCAAAAACACCACACTCTCCTATCAGAATGTCTCTGAAATGTTCTTCTCCAGGAATTTTCTTCTCCAGTGAAATGAATTTCTAAAATAAACTCTTCCTCGTACTGAAAGAGGGGGGGAAGAAGCAAAATAATATCTCTGCCCAACACCATTTTTTGGAAGCCCACCAACAATCTTAATCTGTCAAGGTTTTCTCATCCCCGATTCCATTAAATGTTTCCCATTGTTGATGTCTTCGAGAAACTTTTGACTGAGCCAGGGGAAACATAACATCCAATTGTACATCCTCTGCAGCAGTGGATCTAACTCAGTGGTTCTCAACCTTTTTAATGCCACGACCCCCAACCGGTCGTACGTCGAGGACTACTCAACTGGTGCCGCACCATTTGCAGAATGGGACTTTTAGCGGGCTCAGCAGGGCAGAGACAGCCTGGACAATTCCTATTGGCTCTCTATTCTATTCAAGAGAGTCTATTCTATTGGCTTTCAAAAGCCAATAGAATAAAAGGGAGGAGCGCAGCTAAGGAAAAGGGGGAAAAAATGGCGGACTGCGTTGTTTGGTGACCCCCGTGAAATGGTCGTTCGACCCCAAATGGGGTCCCGACCCACAGGTTGAGAACCACTGATCTAACTCTTGGTGACTTTAAGATGCAGAATCATAGAATAACAGAGTTGGAAAGGACGTTGGAGGTCTTCTAGTCCAACCCCCTGCTCAAGTCAAGAGACCCTACTATTCCAGTCAAATGGCTGTCCACTCTCTTCTTAAAAACCTCCAGTAATGGAGCACCCACAACTCCAGAAGGCAAACTATTCCAGTTGTTCTGTCAGGAAATTTGCTTTTAGTTCCCCTTTGATTTCTTCCATCAATTGTGTCTTCCTGCCTTCAGGGGTTTCGGGCATAAGCTGTCCCCTTCTTCTCTGTGACAACTCTTCTAAGTACTGGACTTGAACTCCCAGAATCCCCCAGCATGGATGAACTTAAATTCCCACCACATTGGCTGGGGAGTTCTGGGAATTGAAGTCCACACATCCTAAAGCTGCACAGGTTGAGATACCCTTCTCTACCAACCTACCACAAATAAGAATTAGCTGCTCGTGAGTAAGCCAGCAAGATTTCAGTTGGGCTTCCTCATTCAGGCTAAGCCTGTGGGTGGAGTACTTGTATGATTTCATTTCTGAGCCAGAGACAGGAAGTGAAGGACCGAAAGAAGCCCAGCAATAAAGAATGGCGCAGAAGACATCAGCATGTTTATATTCGCATCGGTTGGTTCGTCTCATGGCCTTTCCAGGCTGGCTGATGCCCAATGCCTTTCCTTCTACAGTTAGTCCTTGACTTATGACCACAACTGAATCACTGCAGTGGTTAAATTAGTAGTTGTTAAGTGAATCTGGCTTCCCCGCTGATTTTGTTTGTCAAAAGGTCACAAAAGGGGATCACATCACCCCTGGATACTGCAAACCGTCATAAATGTGAAGCAGTGGCCAAGTATTTGAATTTTGATCACATGACCATGGGGATGCTGCAACGGTCGTAAGTTTGAAAAATGGTAATAAGTCACTTTTTTCAGTGTTGTGTAACTTTGAATGGTCACTAAATGAACTGTTATAAGTCAAGGACTACCTGTACTTTCTACTCAGGAGCTCAAGGCCATGGACGTCCAGCCAACTCCTCCTGTTTTTCGCCACAACACCAGCTTTGTGAAACACGTTGGAGCAATGTTTTTTCATGCTGGCCGGGGAATTCTGGGAGTTGAAGTCCACAAGTGTTAAAGTTGCCAGATTTGGAGACCCCTGGTCTAACCTATTTCTCAAGGTTATTGTTACAGTGGGCATATAATTGAGAGAGATCCCCATGTAAGATTCCTTGTATTCTTGGAGAAAATGCAGGAAAAACATGTAACAAGTCACAACAAAATTTCTTCTTGGACATGCTAAAGATGTATTTCTGCTGGGTTGTCTTCTGGGATACAACTTCACATGACTGTAGAACAGTGGTTCTCAACTTGTGGGTCAGGACCCCATTTGGGGTCAAACGACCATTTCACGGGGGTCGCCAAACAACGCAGTCCGCCATTTTTTCCCCCCTTTTCCTTAGCTGTGCTACTCCCTTTTATTCTATTGGCTTTTGAAAGCCAATAGAATAGACTCTCTTGAATAGAGTCTAATTCTATTGGCTTCAAAAGCCAATAGGAATTGTCCAGGCTGTCTCTGCCCTGCTGAGCCCGCCAAAAGTCCCATTCTGCAAACGGTGCTGCACCAGTTGAGTAGTCCTCGACTTACGACCGGTTGAGTAGTCCTCGACTTACGACCGGTTGGGGGGGGTCGCGGCATTAAAAAGGTTGAGAACCACTGCTGTAGAACCTCCCTGATTATCCATAGCCTAACCAAAACCTCTCCTAATAGGTTATTTCCCTCAGGAATTACATTCATGTGGAGACCAGGAAGGCTGCAAATCATTGGAGAAAAGACTCTACCACAAATGATAGGGAACTAAAGTTCTAAAGAAGATCTAGGATTACAGAATTACAGAATATCAGGGTTGGAAGGGGCTTTGGAGGTTGCTCATATCGGATCAGGGGGTGCAGTTCACGGCTTGGTTTTGGCGTGAGTTCGTCCGTTCCATCGGATCGTCCCAAGGACTCAGCTCGGCTTTTCATCCCAGTACCAACGGGGCGGCTGAATGGGCCAACGCAATGGTGGAACGGTATCTGCGGTGCTATGTCTCTTACCAACAGATGGACGGGGTTGACCTGTTACCGTTCGCCGAAATGGCATACAATAATGCAGTTCACAGCAGCACTGGATTCGCCCCCTTCCAGGTGGTACATAGGATGGAATTTGTCCCGATTCCTGAATGTTTGCAGGTGGACCCCTCCCCCTGTCAACCCCAGGATTGGATAACTCACATGGGGGGTTTGGGAGAATGTGAAGAAAGCTTTACTAAGAGCAGAGAAGGCCTCAAAGGCGCAGGCAGTCAAGAAAAGGATGCCCCAAAAGCCTTTTCGGATGGTTGATATGATATACCTGTCAACTAAGTATCTGTGCCTGCAATTACCCTGCAAAAAGCTAGGGCC